CACAATGAGACCATCCACGCGTCTGTATCTTGTTCCTGTACGGAGTTATTGGCCAAAAACCTTTGGTGACCTTTGATGACGTCACATGACCTCACAGCTGCCCAACAGCAAAACAGACCTCAAGGTAGTGAAGGTTGATCGTATATGAACTCATGTATGGTATATGGGGCCATTCCGACCCGTTTTAGTGGTAAAAACAGGGAGTTGATTTTTCCCCCATTGACTTATAATGGGGAGGTCGCGAAATTGACCTGACCTTAGGTCACCGATATCAAAATTCCGAGATATACAAATTGCACATACTGGTACCCTAACTAAACCCTAAAGAGAAGAAATTGATCGGTCAAAAACTCTAGCTCTGGCGTGATTGCAAACTTTTCTGAGGTAGGGTCACCAAACCGCCTCTGGTGACCTGACCTGAGGTCAGATCAACTCAAAATTTTCAGACATGTTGCGTAGAAGCCTTTTAGGAAAAGTCAGAAAATTTGAGCTTCCTAGCTCAACGCGTTTGGGAGAAATAACCAAAAAACCTCAGGGGGGGGGGGGGCTCCTGAGGCCCCCCCCCCGCCAGGAATAGGGTTAAATAACGATGCAGCCCTGCATCTGGCAAATTCTCCATGCCTCGTTTTATGTCGTCGCGCACCGTTGGTTAGACGAGCACGTCAAACAATCAAGTACCTACAAGCAAACCAAATGCATTTTCAATAGACATGCATGCTGATAAAAGCTAGACAGGGGCCGGGGCAAAGCTATAATTGATTTTCGACGAAACCCTTTCACAGGCTTCTAAACACAACATTTCGATCGGTGTATATGTAGTCGACTACAGACAGAATGATGTTCCACTTTTCACAGGCAATTATTTGCCTGGAGTGGTAGGCTGTGCCGCATCACACGGGCTGAGTTCACAAGTTATAGCTGTGTCCCAATGCTCACAATCGACACGCTTAATTGCGTGATAAACGGCACAACTTAGCGCTCCGGTCAACTGATAGCTTCTGAGGAGTGGAACATCATTCTGTAGTCGACTATATACAAAATGCTGCTCTTTGCTTCATAATCACCGATGCAAGTCAAGGTGGCATGCGGCAGCTTCAAGCTCTAGGTCTAGAAAATAAATAATATTTAAAACTGCATTATAAGTGCAAATAGGCATTAGCTCTTCTAAGAAACTGGAGACTCCATGAGAGGCAAGGACATTAGTAACAACGCATAACGTTTTGGGGTATATCTATAAGGGTCGATAAAACGTTATTACTTTAACGTTTTACAGTAACAAGTCAACACATACGAAGTGCAATTAAGTGAGTTATTGGAGGCTCGAACATACCTACCTTACATCGCATGCACTCTCAGGCATCACCTATTTCCTTTTACGACTAGACTTCTTATATAATTCAAAGTACGCTTTTTAGACGACTATAAAAATAGCCGAATAAAACGTACCTCGAATTCTAAATTCTAAATAAAACTAAAACGTATCCCCGCCGACTTCTCGGGAGTTATGCGTCGCTCTCCACATGTCATAGTTCGAAGTCGCCGTGCTTTTCATCGTTTGCTGGAATGCATTGGTTATAACATGCAAATAAATCGTGAATTCTTGTGTATTGCTTGGCCAAGATAGGAACTACAGTTAGGCAATAAAACACGGCTAATCAAACAGACACGCTATAGTTTGCAGGCGCCGGCCGGAAAACGGCGAGCATGCAGCACAGATTATTCAGCCGTATCCACCGCGGGTCCGCACTATTCGATAATTCGACAAAAATACAGCCAACTCACGGCCACGCGGCCTCAGAGGAAAGTGGTGCGTCCCGTGGGCAGTGTGGTGTGGCGCTGGGGGCGGTGACCCACCTCTCGACCCGTGCCTGATGGGTGTCGGCCCCAGCTGTGACCTACCGGGATGCCGTCCTCATTGGGGTAGCGTGTTAACTCCCAATGAAAGGTGTTTCGCCTCTCGTCCCATGTGGAAACCGGCTACTAACTACTAGTTTCACGGTGAGCTATGCGCATTTTGCCATACGAATCCCGAGCATTCCGCAGATAAATACTGTTCTGGCACTATATCCTGTGCTACGGCGTATGGCATGGTGACATGACGTGCTCAACTGAGATATGAGATGACGTGCCAGCATCGCAGCTTATGATAGCCTTATTCCAATGAAGCTAGGGTTATTTGATGACGGTGCTTTTTCAACCATGTAGTAATAATAATGTGCGTTCAATGCGACATGAAACACATCCAGCATACTGCACATCTAATATCTATTCGAGAGTATAGCAGCGACATCAATGTACCTATCCATTGTCAGGTGTCAGGTTATGACACGAACGGCCGCTGGAAAGTGACATGTGTGACAGTGGCGTCTCAATAGGCGACAGTCACAGTTGTCAGTAACAAGCAAAAACGGCGACAGTTGTCTAGTGGTGATTGTCGGACAGTTGTCAGTATGTGACGGTGATAACTCTCACAGTGTGACGGTGACAGCTGTCATTACTACTTATGCACCTATGACAGTCGTATCTTTGTGTGACAGTGAGAGTTGTCAGTACCTACGTCACGGTGACATCTGTGTCAATTTATGACGGTCACAGGAGCAGTGCGTCACGGTGACAGCTATCTGTGTGACGTTCACCGCTGAGTCAGTCAGTGTAATGGGTCCAGAGGGAAGATCCGAGGGCATTGTGGAGATGATAGTTATGCACTTTGTTTTGAGATGATAGTTATCAGTAGCGGCGGAACACCTTCAATTAAGGGGGGCACTGACGACTTTTGGTCCCATTCTTTCCATGCAACGCCCATAGGGCTAATGTTAAAATGCCAAAATCAAAGGGGGCACGGTGCCCCAGTGCCCTCCCCGTCCGCCGCCTATGATAGTTAAAGGGACCCTCCCACCTTAACATTAGTTTTGAGTTGAGATAGCCAAGTTTGCGGCCAGGCTCAGAAACCACCATTTATCCTGGTCGCAACCCCCGCAGCTTTATGGTGTTCAAGAAATTTATTCCCTTTACTTGCAGGGTGGGACCAGCGTGGTCCCTATCTCTTAACCATTACGGGAATCTGATGACGTCATCCGGCTTTCGAACGTCCGTTAAATGTTTGACTAAAACGTTTTGTAGCACGCGGTGGTATATGCTGCTTTGCGCGCAACAAATGCCGCACTTTCAAATAAAGTCGCTAGGAACAGCGGAGATCCCAAAAAGTAAACAAAAGTAAAAGTCTAATATCTTGAAAACCGGTGAATATTTTTCGATGAAATTTGGTAGATATTCGTTTTTGCTCTTTCTGAACCGAGCGACATCACTTTCATGCCAATTCATCAACTTTTTTGAAGGTGGGAGGGTCCCTTTAAAGGGACCCTCCCACCTTCAAAAAAGTCAATGAATTGGCATGAAAGTGATGTCGCTCGGTTCAGAAAGAGCAAAAACGAATATCTACCAAATTTCATCGAAAAATATTCACCGGTTTTCAAGATATTAGACTTTTACTTTTGTTTACTTTTTGGGATCTCCGCTGTTCCTAGCGACTTTATTTGAAAGTGCGGCATTTGTTGCGCGCAAAGCAGCATATACCACCGCGTGCTGCAAAACGTTTTAGTCAAACATTTAACGGACGTTCGAAAGCCTGATGACGTCATCAGATTTCCGTAATGGTTAAGAGATAGGGACCACGCTGGTCCCACCCTGCAAGTAAAGGGAAGAAATTTCTTGAACACCATAAAGCTGCTGGGGTTGCGACCAGGATAAATGGTGGTTTCTGAGCCTGGCCGCAAACTTGGCTATCTCAACTCAAAACTAATGTTAAGGTGGGAGGGTCCCTTTAAGGGGGGCACTGACGACTTTTGGTCCCATTCTTTCCATGCAACGCCCATAGGGCTAATGTTAAAATGCCAAAATCAAAGGGGGCACGGTGCCCCAGTGCCATCCCCGTCCGCCGCCTATGATAGTTATGCACTTTGTTTTGAGGCATTCCTGCTAACTGGCAACGAATAAGATCAACGATCATATATGTTGAATACAAATTTGGAACTGAAATGTGCACGACCTCGAGTCCATTATCTATCGTTAAGTTATTTAGATAGGCAATCTTTTACTTCAGCCAGCTGTGACAATAAAATGCTTAAAATGCGTATTCAAATGTAAAGAAAATGCATCGATTATTTACAGCCCAAAAATTTATTCTAACAGCACAGCGTGGCATGATGGACTCCTTTAGACGGAATTAGTCTTCCTCCGAATGCTGGAAGCCCGCGGAGGACCACTGCAGACCTGGTCACGCAGGTTGTTAGCGTAGGAAATGGCCAATAAAACGGTCGATACCTAATGGTCAGCCAGTCATGCAATGATTCGGACAATTTTCAATATTTCATGCGACGAAACGATTGGCGTAGACGTACTGCGATAGCCGTACTGACTGGGGATACTCTGCGAAAAACGCACCTTGGTTGCTATCGTCACGCAGGTTACGACCTTTCCTGACATATCTAGTCAAATAAGGACTGGATCATTTGTTCAGCCTGCCATAAAGCGCGACCCACCTAAGCACAGTACCAGTTGCATTTTACGATGGACACTGCTCGGGCGAGCAAATTTAGGCATATGAATCGTACATGGGAATGCATGCAGTGATAATTAGGTAAAGATTATCGATAAGGGCCACCACAAATTTTATGGCTGTAAAATATTAACAGCTGTATTTAAGACGTCTCTGTTGATGCGCGCCCCAGAACAAAGTGACCATCGATACAATGCTATGGCTAATTTGTCCCCAATTCGTTGATTCTGACATCTACGCCGCATCTATAACATGAAAAAAGTGAGTAATGCTTAAAACGAGAGCATACCTACACAACAGCCGTGAAAAGTTAAGAAGTTCCATTTATTGACGACGTGACTGGGAGGTCTGCTCGTCTCGTTTCACACAGCCGGGTAGGACGCATGAAAAGTAACTATAGTATGACAAACTGCCAATCACTAACCCTCTCGCCCTTTGTTTCCAGGCGTGACCCGACCATGGAACTGATCGTCTTCGGCACAGTCTTCAACAGCGGCAGTAACGACAGCGGCGGAACCCTTCCCGGTCCTTGGAACGACACCGCCTCACTCAGCACGGTCGGGCTCAGTCTGGTGACCGAGACAGACCCCGGCGCGGGCGGACGACCTCTGGCAGTGGCCGTGGCCATCGCCTCTCTGATGGCCTTCATCGCCCTGCTCGGCCTGGCCGGAAACAGTCTGGTGGTGGTGGTCACCATCGTGGACCACGACCTGAAGGAGCATGTCAGCAACATCATCATCGGCAACCTGGCGCTGGCCGACCTGAGCACCTGTCTCCTGGTGGTGCTGCCGTCGGCCGGCTCCCTGCTCGCCGACCGGTGGCCGTTCGGACCGGTCCTCTGCTGGCTCCACTGCGGCTTCAACTATCTCTTTATCATCGTCTCCATGATGTCGCTGGCGCTGGTCAGCCTGGACCGGAAGGAGGCCGTGGAGGAGCCGCTGCAGTACATCCAGCGCTCGCGGCCGTCGCGCCTGCTCGCCCCTCTGGCGCTCATCTGGAGCACCGGAGCGCTGTTTGCCATCATCCCCGTGGCTCTCCACTGGATACACTACGACTACTGGGAGGGCGTCTGCGCCATCGGCTGGTTCCAGCACCGTGGTACTGTGCTCTATGTCATCGTGGCCTTCTGCGTGTGCTTCCTGATACCGGCCTCGCTGATCGTCTGGTCCAACCACATCATCGTGACGACGTCGCACCGCGTGTCGCGACGTCACGGCAGCATGCGCAACACGAGGGACACCGTCAGCACCCCCAGTCAGAAGGAGAGCACCACGCTGCGCCGTCTCTACCGGTCGATACGGCTCAGAGGCCGGCGCTTTGTGCGCCGCTCACCGGGCGTATCGTCCTCGGTACGAGCGGCACCGGTGGTACCCCCGGCCGGCGCCACCCCGCTGACCCGCACCCGGTCTGAGCCGCAGCGATCCCTGCGCCTGGACGTGTCAGAGCTGGTGTCCGGGTCGCACAACATCGAGAGCATGTTCAGTGAGTTCGGGGAGCAGCGGCGACGGCGACAGCGGGACAACAGCGATCTGGAGTCGGAGGTGGCAACGGTTCACTTGCCGAGTGAGGTGCGCCGGCGCAGCGCCCTCCAGCCGGTTATCGATACACTCACTGTCCGACGACCTGCCCAGCCAGCGGCCCAGGTCGGCACAGAAGTCAATCCCGAGGCGGTCGTAGCCAAAATCAGCAATGGCAGCGAGGTCCGCCGCGGTATCCGCCGTATTCGTCGCCAAGGTGGCGAAGGAATTGGTGGCAGCGGCAGCAGCAGCGACGGCAGCGGCGACAGTCGCGGTGGCGACGACGAAGCTCCTGTGCCAGAGCCTGTACCTCCCGATCCTCTATCGGAGCTCGAGAGTGTCGCCGAGTCGGGCGCCGCACCCGCCCGCCGAGCGAAGATCATCCTGCGCCGCCAGGGCTCGTACGTGGTGGAGAGCTTGCCGGCGTCGCTGCCAAGGCTGGTGGTTCGGCTGGCAGAGTCCCGCTCCTGCGAGGGTGGATCACCTGCCGCTGACCTTCCAGACAGCCTAAAGAGGCCGCTGGAGGCCGCCCAGGCGCGTCCGCTGACTTCCGGCCAGGAGAGGCATCTGGTCCGCTCCCACCGCCGCATCATCAGGTCCATCTCCATCGTGGTGGCCATCTTCTTCGTGTGTATGACACCCTTCTGCGTCACCAAACTGGTGAAGATCATCTTTTTACGGGAAGACCTATTGCCCGGCTGGCTGAACCTTTTGGCCAGCGTAGTGCAGTTTATGTCTTCAGCAACCAATCCATTTATCTACGGCTTCTTCAGACCGGACTTCAAAAGGGCCTTCCTGAGAATATACAGGAAGATGAAACTATCCTCAATTATTTCTCGGCAATAATCTAACCCTCTCTTCCCCTCCCCCTCCTGGCCTCTTCGCCTTCTGTGTTCGTTTTCTAATAGTGTTCCTTTTATTTATAATCTTTGCAACATATTTGTGTAAGAAAGTTCTTATCTATTGTAGTATTTTTTTTTTAATAATTGTAATGTTTTGTATGAAGGTTCATTAATCATGTTGATTTTATAAAAGAGCCAACTTAATTTAAGTGGGTTATTTTACCTATCATTGTTGTGCAATGGTGTTCCACGCTGCATACTTCATGCGTTTGCTGTTCAAATTTCACCCGCACCGATGCCGCAGTATTGCAATAGTCACAACTCAGGATACCCCCCCCCCCATGACGTGTAATTGTGTTATATGAACTTTTCGGAGCAGCAAAAGTTCAGCCCACGAATAGTCGCGGAGAAGAAAGTACCGAATCGGCGGAGGCTAGAGAGTTTCAATTTATTCCTACTTTGTGTTTGTTTTATCCAAAAATTGAACCATGGTGACACAAAAGTGTACGAAATGTATATAGAAGGATAAGTTCAGTCATTTCGTTCTGTGTTGCCCTATCTGGAATCATTCATTAATTTTGATTTAAACGTTTTATGGGTTCATTCCGACTTTCTGTTTGTATAGACAGTCAAGCTCGGACTATCTATGTTTGGAATATGTGCTGTGTAATACAAATGCGAATAAAGCATGCGGCATAAATCGACGCATTTTTCAAACCCCACATCCGTTCTCTCATGAATTTCCGGGAAGCACGAAAGATCTCTTTTAAAAATTGTCCAATCATCCGGTCGTGATCAAACCTGTGTGTTCGTAAGCTTGTTCTGGCATTGCTTGATCTGCCAAGACAAATAAGCTTGAGAAAAATCTAGTGACTGTACCTTTTTAAAAAAAATTTCTCCAACTTATCGGAAATTAACGGGAGAACGGATGTGGGGTTAAAGAACGCGTCGATATGTTGTTTGAAATTGCTGCTCGCGAAGATGTATCAAACGACACTATAATGCATCGACTGTCGAGGGGCTGATAATAACGAACTAAAAGTGAAGCATAGGGTAAGGTGCCTAATTAGCGACCCCCTTAATTAGAACCGTCATTGCTCACGCTCTGTGGATGCCACTGTATTACTGGCTTGATTTTCGGAGAGGTCGTTCATTTTTCTATTAAAATATAGTCATTTTCTGCCCCAATATTCATAAACTGATTTGTAGTGAGCATTTTAGCAAACCATTGCAAAAAACGCTAATAGGGAACTCTTCCCGATTAGCGACCGGGGAGGGTCGCTAATAAGTCTATGGGTTTCCCCATATTAAAAATGGCAAAAAATGCACGACGCCTGAAAAGATGAAATATTATCTCAAAAAGGTAACCTATACGCAAAGCACTCAATCACTCGAACAGGAACGTTTATCCAACACATTTATGTAAGTAAAAACTGATCACGTGATGCACCGAAGGCGAAAAGAAGGCGGAAACCCAAATTTTGCGGGCTGTCTCGTATGATATTCGAGGTCCGCGCTGAATTCGGCACCCCTGCAGTCGGTGACGACATTTGACATCCCCTGCCACACATTGCAAGCTTCAGCAGCACCTCATTTTCATTTCTCTCTTTTCCCCTTTCTTTCCCTTCTTGAGCTATTTGCGACCATGTCAGGCGCAAATAGGAAATATGAGTTGCGACACATTTTTAACCGCCATGCTGTGCACAGTTAAGCGATTCACTATGGAAAAACGGCAATCAATTGAAAAAGGAATGTCGATTCAGAATAAAAAAGGTGCATCATCCTAATGTGCATCGCTTTTCATCAGAGAGGGCCCAAACACACACGTTTTGGATAAGAAACTCGTCATTTTCATTTAAACTCACCTGAAACGTCCCACCAGAAACATCGACAACCGTAAAATAATTAAATTTGATAACCAAAGTATGGCTGACCTTTTGACGATGTTTTCACCCTGTTTTCACCCGCCAGTTTTTCTATAGGGAGGTAGGTCGCAAATCGGAAAGGGTCGCTAATTAGGCACCTTACCCTACCTATGTTTCGTCAATTCGCTTGGCTTGCTTTACGAAGCAAACCATAATCGATGGAAGGCTGCTTCTACATGATAATGATCGTCAATACTAGTGATGTCAATTACGGGAAATCGGAATACCGATACAAAACCAAATACCAACCAACAAAACCACGGGAAAATACCGAAACCAAACCAACTTGGGAAACTGAGAGAAATACCAACTTTTTACCGATTTCTTAGCCTCTTATACATTAGTGAGGGCTTATGATACCAACAAAATACCAAACACATTACGATTGAAATACCAAATGCCAAGTTGGTATCGGTTTGGTATCGGTATACCAAAAAGTTGGTATCCGATTGACATCTCTAGTCAATACTCAATTAGCCATTACCTGACGTTCGTGGACCGATCATCGACGAAGCGCGTCGTCTTAAATTGTGCTGGAGCCCGAATATGCCCAGCACTAGCGCTAAGATCGATTTATGAATGTTGGAGAACGAATGTCCTCAAAACATCGTCGCGTCTTTAGCGCGATGCACCAATCGACCGTACTAACGACGTCCCGGAAACAAGTGGTTTGGTTCATTACAGCTGCCTTTATGAGGAGACGTTGCATCGTGCACCTTTCGTCGGGTCTCGACGTAACTGCAGGCAGGTATTACATATACCCTGGGTATTACCTTATAAACGTGCACCACAGGACCCGTGACATCCATTTTCGTGGCTAAATCTAAGTCACTGCATGCAGCTACATTAGCTGCAGCCGTGAGGGCAGAATAATGTCACATGATCTAATGTACTTACCTAGTACCTAGTACCTACTACTGTAAAAGATCCACCTACCTCATAAGTAAAAAGTCTGTACGCAGAACAAGCCCTAGAAAAGGCACACGTGACCGATGACGGACCTAACGTCTCTGCTAACGGTGCAGGTCGTGCCTAATGCGTTGTCGCAACTCATTAGTGGACGATTTACCAGCGACGATGGAGGTAATTACCAGAAAGGATGCGTGTGCTGTAACCTGCGCTACCCTCAATGAAAAAACGTTTTATGATTTAGTCGGTGGAGCGCACCTGTAGTGTCTCGAGGTGCGTTCAAGGGTACAAAGGGAACACACATTATTTTGACGTTATGCTTGATAGAATCAATCGATTACATTCCAGACGACCGAATGAAAGGGTCGTTTTTGTTTTTGAATTATCTTTGAAAACGTCTGCACTTAGCAAATATATACTAGGGGCCATTCTTCTTTGATTTTTTTATTGTGTTGCATTAACCCGCGCCCTGGTGGGGTCTGTTTATAACGCGACCTGGTGGGGGGGGGGGCTATTTTTTGCCCCCCCTCGTATCTCCGAAACTACTGGACGGATCCGCAAAATTCAAACGGCGTTCGAAAGGCCTGTCAAATTTGTCGAAGGAAACCAAATTTCATTGACCTCGGGGTCACCGATGACGTCACAGGTCAGGTCAAAGATGAAATGTTTCACCGTTCACGGGTCTGCTAAGGAATGCGCTATAACACCGAGGAAAACGCATTTTGTCGAGAATCAGCGATAGGGCGTCAGTTGCCTAGTAGATATGTTGCTATTAGAGGTCACTGACAATACCAGGTCACGTCACAGGTCAGGTCACCAAGGGTCACAGGTCAGGTTACATGAGCCCAACTTTACTAAGGTTGTGTGATGCATGTTTTATGGCCAATTTTTCATTTCCAACTCAATGGTGTTGGTTATAAGACTATCAGGTACGGCTTAGGTCACTTTCTGGTGAAGTTTAGGTCAAGGTCAGGTCAAGGTCAGGCCAAAAAAGGTCAAATTTTAAAGTTGATAGTTTTGCATAAAATGGGTATTGATTCGATGCAGCTCGTCACGGGGAGTCTAATGGTGGTCTTTGTTTTGCGCTACGGGGTCTAGAATTGCTAAAAATTGAGTTTGAAAATTTGATGTCATCAATTTTGAACAGTTTTTTCCCTATAACTTCGCCAAAAAAGAGGTATCAATCTCAAATTTGGTATGTGGATGGAAGGCGGTAAGGACTATCACATATATTCCGGTTTTTGCGAAATTCAAAAAACTTTTTGGATTTTTCGATCATTATATCCAAAAAAAATTATTTTTTGATTTTTCGGGGTCAAAATCCAAAAATTTCAAAAATCCGAGATAGCAGTTTTGTAGCCCTGTTAATTCTACAGCTTTTATGTCCTTATCATTTTTCTGTATTTGCAAAGCTATAGGCCTGACAGCTCTTCCCGCGAAACCCTTTTTTGGGTCGAAAACGGCAGAACATGACGTCACTCTGACGTCATTTCCGGCCAACCTATCATAGCCTTTGGAAAATTTTTGGTCACCATATGTAAAATTGATGTCCGGGAGGGTACTGAAAGTTTGGTTACGATCGGCGCAGCGGTTCTGGAGATATATCGAAAAGTCTGGAGGGGGGGGCAAAAAATAGCCCCCCCCCCCACCAGGGCGCGGGTTAACAACCAAGTTAAACGTTACATTTTGTGCTTACGACTCTATTACTTTTAAGTCCATAATCAAAGGACAACGGCCATTTTGAAGTGTCGGTTGTCAATATAACGGACATATGCTACAATTGCATGTAGGTACAGCCGAAACAAAGCTGTCATGGCGCACTATCAGCATTTAGCCTTATACATATGTGTGGTTTAGCATTCATTCGGCATTCAGCATTCAGCAACACTATTCAGCCAAACGTACATTCGGCCCATAGAGTTATGTTTGCCGGTCTGTGAATGCTGGGATCTTTTCAACACAAATAAGATATGGTGTGAATAACTACCATAATACCAAATGAAATACACAAATGTACTCGTATCATATTGCGTTTAACCCTCGCCCGCACATGGGGGGGGGGGGGGGTTGCCACTCCCCAGGTAGTGTTTCTGCTCTGCACTCAACATTTTTTGAGCTAGAAGGCTGATTTTTCGTATAGCTGCTCCTCTATCCTTTCTTGATGTCCACTGACAATTTCAAGTTTCTGTAGTTTTTGGTTTCGGAGATATGACCTTGTTTTTCAGGTCATGTCACGAGTCATGACCCAAATGGCCAATTCTCAACATCTTGCGTTGGCTATGGGCCTTGTGAGCTTTTGACACCTTGATTTCGGCCTTTTTTGCCAGTCTTACCTCCCACCTATCATGGAACATGTTGTTCGACGATGTACAGATGTCAAGGTCAAGGTCAAGGTCAACCTAGGTCATCTAAGATAATTGCGTTTTAGGCAAGCGGTATTTATTCTTTGTGAAGTTTTTTGAATGCATTTTTTTTTTGTAAAAGCTTCTCAGATCATGATTTCATGTAATATGGACACATAAATAATCGGTGCACACATCAGTACCTATACACACAGACACACACAGACATACAAACAAATGTAATTGACCTTGACCTAACTTGACCTGAAATGACCTCAGCAGCAAAAACCTGGTCGGGTAGTGTGACAAAGAGGTTCTAGCTGGCTTGGCACCAGAAAACGGCATCATCATCGGTATATGATAGGCATCGCACTTGATATCCAACGGTGACCCAAAACAGCAACATTTTTTAGTTTGACCTGACCTGGAAGGTCAATGACTGACCTGAGACGGTAAAACTGGGTATCATTTGATTTGTCTCTTCCCAAAGAATCTTTTGGTCTTTACCGATAAGCTCTATCTCCAACAGGAACAAAATGACCCCCCCCATGTGCGTTCTAGGATGGGAAAATGGCATGTGCGGGCGAGGGTTAAAAGGCATTGGAGAAATAGCCAGCTTATCGTTCGTCGATACATTACGTAACAGCATTAAATAATCTAACTATGTATGCTTACACATATCGTGCAAAACAGCGTCTTGTCGTATTTCATGTTCGACGGCCCTTGCTAGATTTTGTCAGATTACGAAGTTTGTTTCTTGGTTACGTTTGTCCGCACTGCAGCAGCTGTACAAAGAGGAACGGTCTGAAATTGTTCCGACCCACTTATCCTTCTGCAGTCTCAGGAAACGTTGCTTCGTCTAGACCTGATACAGTGATTAAAGAGGCGGATCAGTTTTGAGTTCAGTGGTGGTTAGAGCTGTTAGCCAGTGCAGAAACACAAAGGAAGCGAACAAGCACTGAAAACGACCGCACGAATCACGATCCGTTCAACGTCTCTACTTTGTAGTCCCACCTCCGTGCTGGGTAACTATCGGATTAAAACTTTATTTTCGAGATATCGAACGTGACATCATCTAATACCTCATGACCCTGGGTAATCGCGGTGATCTTCCAATGCGGGACACAGCCGGTGACGCTACAGAGGTCGCCGTGACAAGAAATAATACAACATAGGCCTCCACAAACAATCAGGTGACATTGCGGCTGCCAAAACAAATCCAGTGACAAACGTCGCGGTATTTGCAATAATGTCGCTACAACGGCGCCTGTGGTAGTGTCAGATCTGGTAACATTACATTCACAGTGTAACTATAAAAACCCAGGCGATACCCTGTGACGATTCCTAAAATCATGTAGATGACGCTGTGGTAGTTCAGGTGGTATTGTAGGTAGCGCTGTTGTAGTTGAGGTGGTCTTGTAGGTGGCGCTGTGATAGTTCAGGTGCTACCACAGGTGGCTCTATAGAAGTTCAGGTGATGTTCCAGGTGTCGCTGTGCTGATGTATGGAGCTGTGACAGTTTAGGTGACGTTACAGGTGACGCTACCCTTCTGGCCGCGGCGCGACGAGCCGCGGCAACACGGTCCCCCACTGGACACCAGGTGATCGCATTCGGCGCTGAAGCCGTGGCTGTGCTCGCTGAGTTTCAGAGCGAGGCCTCGGGCAGCCTCCGGTGAGACGGGTGCCAGGGCGGCGCCGTCCTCCAGCTGAGTGTGCCCGTGTCGGATCGGCTCGGCGGTGCTGGCAGCTGCCACCCGACGCCGCGGTCCGCCCCGCTCCGCCCTCGGTGCCGCTCTGGAGAGTGGGTCCCCAGAGCTCTGGTACGCCGGCGGCCCCTCCTGTGACTCGTGCGCTGCCCACTGTGACCCCGTGGCCCTGTGCACCACTGGCCTCGCTGAGGTCTGGGTGGCCACGTGCGCCGGCCCCCCAGCAGCCCTCCCGCCCGCTGGGACCGGCGGTTGGCGTGCTCGCGGCTCCCTAGACGGTGTCGGCGGCGGCGGCAGCTGCAGGGTCGGCGGTGACGACGGCGGCGGCTGCAGCGCGGTCGCCGCCGACACAGAGCCCGTCTGGGGCACCCTCAGTGACGGAGAGGTCACTGCGGACGCCTGTGAGATGGCGGAGGAGGCCGCCGAGCGGTTACGGCGGATCTTCATCGTCAGCGAGTCGGACGGCTGGTCGCCCACTGCCGGAAAACGGGACAGGCGTCAGCTGGTAACACGACACGACACGACAATAAACAACATGACACGACACAATGCACGCAAATACACGCATACATTTGTCAATAAATGCTAGGTCAACAATAAATGCTAGAATAAGTGCAATACATGATAGGAGGAGGTAATGGGAGAAAAACCAATGGATGGATATTGAATACGTTGGATAGATAAAGCTCCAAAATAAAGATGTTTAGTTTAAACCATTTATTTGTTGGGCTCCGCCCATCGAAATGAAGAGGTATAAGACAGACAGACATGTGTGCACTAAGAACATAAATGGCCGCTCACGTTTGAGATGTGGTATACAATTTGTGATCCAAAGAGCGTTATGTGCTGGTGGAGTGATAGGAAATGAACGGCGAAGTGACTGACACTGAGTGACATACACGGTATAACATCAGGAGTGCAGCAGAGCGACACTGTCGGACGGACCAGCGGCGAACAGTACTGACATGCGTGCGGTGTGAGATGGGCCGGCGCTGGCCGGCTCTCCAGCTCTACCAAGGCTCGTCCAGAACGCTCAACACGGACGGAGAACAGCCTGCAAAAGCGGGACGGACGCCGCGATCAGCAGGCGGGCGCGAGCGGCCGGTCGGCCAGCGACAAACAGAGAGATTGACAGACATGTCGGACAGAAGTGCCAAGATGGCATGCCAAGAATGAACGGGCATCGGAAACAAAGATTAGCTATAGCGGATCATGATTGAACGGTGATCACAGAGCAGTGTACATGAAATTTTGCAATCCACATAAATGAAATACACATGCAAAGACAGACATATTTCTCATACGTCTCGAGCCGACGCGATTGCCCGTATTTACACAGCATAATATGCCAATTGACGACTTCAAGGCTCTGTCATCGCGTCATAAACTCGTTTTATTTCGTGTCTATTCAAAAGAAAGGAAAAATACAAAAAATGTTATCAACCAGACTTTATTAACCTGCCTGCCTAATCTTACTCATGAAAATAATGATACAAAAACGATTGCTTAATTTAAGACCGCCTTGGTGGCTCATGGAATCGTCGTATCGGTTAAGGATTTTTACTGAAATTGAAGAAGGATAAAAGAAGAAAGATAAAAAATTCCTTCAAACCCAAAGTCTAAGCGACTCATAAAAATATTCAGGCGAAGTCTCTAGGCAAGAAAATCGAGTATTTTCTAAGTATACAATTCTTATAACGAGAAAAATAGATAAATGGGTGAAGTTAATGGAAAATCCCGGCGTTATTTCCGGCCATCTCGCTGATGACTGAGCCCTGACCTCTGACCCACGGCACATGGCCGCCGGCCGGCCCGGCAGAGCTGGCAGTGACCGGTCGATCCGGAACAGAGTGATTGGCGCTGTCGTGCGTTATGAATGACAGAGAGATGGTGCATGATGGCGATCCCGCTGGCCGAGAGCACGGTACGGCCGCGCCGACCTCTGGTTGGCCCGGTCATTGTCAGCGACCTCTGACCGACCCAGTCCGTCTCAGTGACCTCTGACTGACCCAACTGACCTCTGACTGACCCGACTGACCTCTGACTGACCTCTGACTGACCTCTGACTGACCCAACTGACCTCTGACTGACCCGACTGACCCGACTGACCCCTGATTGACTCGCTGACCTCTGACTGACCCGACTGACCCGACTGACCTCTGACTGACCCAACTGACCTCTGACTGACCCAACTGACCTCTGACTGACCCGACTGACCTCTGACTGACCTCTGACTGACCCGGCTGACCTGTGATCCCTAACTGACCCGACTGACCTCTGACTGACCCGACTGACCTCTGAATGACCCGCTGACCTCTGACTGACCCGACTGACCCGACTGACCTCTGACTGACCCAACTGACCTCTGACTGACCCGACTGACCTCTGACCGACCCGCTGACCTCTGACTGACCCGACTGGCCTCTGACTGACCCAGCTGACCTCTGACTGACCCGACTGACCTCTGACTGACCCAGCTGACCTCTGAGACTGGCGGCGCTTCTGGCAGAGGAGACCGTCCGGCCGTTGACCTTTGACTGACCCGCTGACCTCTGACTGACCCGACTGACCTCTGACTGGCCCGGCTGACCTCTGACTGGCCCGGCTGACCTCTGACTGGCCCGGCTGACCTCTGACTGGCCCGGCTGACCTCTGACTAGCCCGACTGACCCGCTGACCTCTGACTGACCCAACTGACCTCTGACTGACCCGACTGACCTCTGACTGACCTCTGACTGACCCGGCTGACCTGTGATCCCTAACTGACCCGACTGACCTCTGACTGACCCGACTGACCTCTGAATGACCCGCTGACCTCTGACTGACCCGACTGACCCGACTGACCTCTGACTGACCCAACTGACCTCTGACTGACCCGACTGACCTCTGACCGACCCGCTGACCTCTGACTGACCCGACTGGCCTCTGACTGACCCAGCTGACCTCTGACTGACCCGACTGACCTCTGACTGACCCAGCTGACCTCTGAGACTGGCGGCGCTTCTGGCAGAGGAGACCGTCCGGCCGTTGACCTTTGACTGACCCGCTGACCTCTGACTGACCCGACTGACCTCTGACTGGCCCGGCTGACCTCTGACTGGCCCGGCTGACCTCTGACTGGCCCGGCTGACCTCTGACTAGCCCGACTGACCCGCTGACCTCTGACTGACCCGACTGACCTCCGACTGACCCGACTGACCTCTGACTGACCCGGCTGACCTCTGACTGGCCCGGCTGACCTCTGACTGGCCCGGCTGACCTCTGAGACTAGCGGAGCTGCTGGCTGACGACACGGCCCGGCCGTTGACCTCTGACTGACCCAGTTCGGCCCGTGACCTTCGACTGACCCGCTGACCTCCAACTGACCAGCGACTGACCTCTGACTGACCGGACTGACCTCTGACTGACCGGACTGACCTCTGACTGACCCGCTGACCTCTGACTGACCGGACTGACCTCTGAGACTAGCGGCGCTGCTGGCTGACGACACGGCCCTGCCCGTGACCTCTGACTGACCTGACTGACCTCTGACTGGCCCGGTCACTGACCTCTGAGACTAGCGGCGCTGCTGGCTGACGACACGGCCCGTCACTGACCTCTGACTGACCGGACTGACCTCTGACTGACCAGCGACCTCTGACTGACCCGCTGACCTCTGACTGACCCGACTGACCTCTGACTGACCGGACTGACCTCCGACTGACCCGACTGACCTCTGAGACTAGCGGCGCTGCTGGCTGACGACACGGCCCGGCCGTTGTCGTGTCGTGACACCTGGCTGACGGGAGTGTAGACGCTGCGCCGTCCCCCACCGGGGTCGGAGGGTGACTGCGGCCGCGGCAGACACTCCTCCAGCGTGATCTTCTCGTGCAGGGGCCGCCGCCCGTCCCGTGACTCCAGCCAGTAGGTCTTCATCGAGCCTGATGGCAGCCACAGGAAGTGGAACGACCGGTACAGGTCTCAGGACGACTTGTATGAAAGGCACTGCCGTGTGGTAGTGGGTGAAAAAGTAGAGACATGTCTGATGGAAGAAAACACTTGGCTATTTCGGCTCTTAATTCATCCATGGCAATTAGTTACAAAAGAAAAGCAGTAATTGCCACACGGTTCGGCCGGGCAAAGTACCGTTGTCATTGCAACATAAATAATGCATAAATGCTTAAAATAATATTAGGTATATTACGCATTGACCACTCATGTAGGCAAAGTTGTTACTTACCCTTTCCCTTTACTTGGATTTCTCCTCTTTCTGACGTGTGATATGAATTTCCCAGACGGACTTTGGTTGTTTCTGATATGTGAATTTTCATCGCCACACTGTTAGATTCCATCCGCGACGCTAGAACAAAGAGACATATGAGTGATTAGTATAAAGCAGTCTTTTTGTTTTGCGCCGTTAGGTGTAACAGCTGTTTCACGCACTTTCTTAGCAATTGCTATTTCAAACGAAACAGATGAGCGGCAGCGCTGGCTCAAGGTGCTACCAACCTTTAATACTTTGAGCAGGGATATCGGGAGAACGATGGATAAATTTCAAAAAGTACGTCAATCCATAGACAGGGAAGGATGTGAACTGACATCCGCGAATGGAGACCGCCAGTTGAGCTGTGTTGTAAAGAGACGAAACACGAGGCGAAAAAGAACTCGGAGAAAACGTAACGAGAAGTAACGGAGCTTTTTCCATTGGACATGACTTCCGAGGAAACAGAAAGACCAACACTAATCACTCCAATGTGTTATGACGGATGAGAAGCACGCTGTTTTTCTTTCGCAAAACTCTAGCTTCATTACGATCCGAATGGCGAGCCAGCCCCTCCCTTGATCTGGAATTACGTCGAAAAACCGTTAATTCTCTTGAGGATTGTCAGTAATTGCTTCTAGTGCCAAGCATTGTTGAGAAAATGGTTTCCAATTACTGACAATGAAATGCCACCGGGTGAAATGGCTTAAATAAACCTTAACTTTCTACGTGACTTGGATCAAGTGCCTATAATAGCGTGAAGCCATCGACAGCAGTTAGCAACGGATAATTGACACCACTCAAAGAAAACACAACCACTTATAACAAAAAGACTGACTGAGAAAGTTAGTATCACTGATGGCCCCGCATTGGATTGGAGGCACTGTTCAGCTATCGACAGAGCTCGAGTCAGGGGTACGACTGTCGCTACCTGACCTCCCACAGCGGTGCAGCTAAACGGACAGGTCACCCAGTAATACGCCCGTGTTATGCTGCATCGGATATGTCGTCCTACGAAATGAATAGAATCCATTTGGAATCTACGTTTTTGGATATCATTTGACAATTTGGTTCCACTTGGCTCAGTGTTTCACCGTCAATTCATAGACACCATAAGTGGAGTATTTAACCCTCGCCCTGGCAGGGCATTTTTCATAACACGGCCTGGCAGGGGGGGGGGGTCGATGCGACCCCCCCCCCCCTCGCGATTGGCTCCTATGGCACCTAGAAACACCAAATTTGGTAGGTAGGTGGGCCCCCTGGAGTTCTCGCCCCTGTGCAAATTTGGTTGCTCTAGGTCAATATTTAGGGGGGTTTTGGGGGGTATAAATGTAAAAATTTCGCTAAAAACAGGTCGAAAGTTTTTCGCTTATAACTTTTGATCTAATTAAGATAGAGAAAAAAGAAAAGCACCAGTGAACTCAGCACGTCAAGGCGCGTCGAATGATATACTTTTTAGCTTGCTTAAGTGTACTTAAAGTTTTTCTTATATTTTAAGTAAACTTAAATTAATAAATTAAGTTCAAGTTAACCAAATTGCATCATATCGCATATCATTCGATTCGGCTGATCACCAGGAACACAATGGTACCATTTTTTAAGCTCTAGCGTCATTATGTGCCAAGTTATTGGCAAAAACGTCATTTGACCTCAGTTGACCTCATTTGACCTGACCCATGGATAAGTACACCAAACAAAGAAGCACCAAGTGACCTGCTGTTAAGTACCGTGGTTTCAAAGCACAAAAGTGATAAAACGAAGCGGATATCTCCAGTATTTTCCGAATTTAGTATTTTCCCATAGGCTTAACATTACGACGTAATGACCTCTAACTGACCTCAGGTCAGTGACCTCAAAAAAGCCGGACTATATGTTATACAACTCGGTGAACTTAGCACATCCTGAAAGTTTGAAGGAAATCAGTCGAAAACTGTGAGTTGGAGAGGTGCAAAAAGAAAATTGAAATTTGACCATGACCTTGTACCGGTTTTTCTGACCTGGTGACCTGATCCAAGGTCACCCGGACCTGAAATTTTCAGGTCATATGTAAAAAGGTTGCCCCATAGGCTGTGCCAAATTTGGCGGCGCTGCGCGCCGCCGTTTTTACGCTATCTTCGAAAAACCTTAGGGGGGGGGGGGGTCGCATCGACCCCCCCCTGCCAGGGCGAGGGTTAAAGGTGGATTATAATTCCAGTTCTTCATTACGGTATTCATTGCGGTAAAATAAACATGTCATGCCATATCTTTTGCAATTAAGTGACAGCTGATATCTCCGAGTCCCGATAAGCTACCAATTGACTTCACTGATACATAGGTATCCCGAAACATCTATCTCCCCCTCTCTCTCTCTCCCTCTCCTTCCCTCCCTCCCTCCATGCCCTTCTCTCTCACTCTCTGTCCCTCTCCCCTCCCTCCCTCCCTCCCTCTCTCTCTCTCTCTCATCTCTCTCTCTCTCTCTCTCTCTCTCTCTCCCTCCCTCACTCTCTCTCATTCTCACTTCCAGTACATTCATACATCTTCATCAGACTCGCACGCATTCGACCAGAGTCACCGTATTGACCACATCCGCCTGCTCTTTCCGCTCCCAGCGCTCTCTCCACATGTCTCTGTACGTCTCACTCTCACCTGTGTTGACCGTGTCGCCGAAGAGACAATAGCGAGGCATCTTCAGACCCACCACGCCCGCCACCACGGTGCCAGAGTGGACGCCCACGCGGATCTGGATGTGGTTCCCTGTTGGATAGGAAACAGTGAAAATAATAAACATTTTAAAGTAGAATTTTCCTCAAACAGTTTTAGGCCGGTGCACTCCAGTTTATTTTGCAAACTTTGATGTGCTGGCATTTACTTTGACATTGCCAAGGCAAATTGAGTTAGCAGCTTGTTTATGATAAGAAACAAACGCTCTGAGACGTCACTCGAATGAATGCGTTCCGGTGATCGCGTTCTCTTTCTACTCAATTTGTTTATCACGTGGTGTGCGGTTACGCCATCGCCAAATGGCAACATGTGTCGGCTCCACGATGCTAAAATGACAGATATTTACAATAGGATTGTAGAGCTTTATGAAAAAGCCATGATGTTATTTGTGTATTTCGATAGCGCGTAATACATACTTGATAAACGTTTCAGCTTTAGACGTCAAAGCTGCCGCTAATGTTGTAAGATGCGGGCTGATCACTACGGCCCATCTGGACTTCAAGGATACTGTTCCGCACGGCGGCCGGGCACTGCGGTACAGTCTACCCGCCAGGCGACTGGCTTAGGGCCGGCTGTCGGCTCCCGCGGAGACTGCAGCTAAGAAGTAAGCAATAACGTTCCCTGGACACTGGATTGTGACTCATTTAGCGATGACGTTCACTTGCCAGAAACTACACCAGCTAAGTAATGACGGTCGCCCAGTGACAACGTTCACTTGACACACACAGCACTGACAGACGGCATTGGCCTCCGTCAGTCACTGTATTGTCTACACGGATAAATAAAGACTTTTCACGCATTCTCATTTTAGTTGATTTTTTCTTCAGCTCTGCCAGTGATGCCTATCCTTACATGTTTTGGAACTTCAAGAATTAGGCAAAGCTTTAAACACATTTAATGATGGAATAACCTTAACGTAAAAAAGTGGCGAATTTCAATACAAAGAAGTCTGCAAGTAGCGATGAGGTCTATGTGTTTCATTCAGCCTGTTCACTGGTCTAGAAATACATACGCAGGAATTACTCCTAGTAGTTGACTCAGAAACGCCGTATTATGTGTTCACGTAGGCCAATAACGTAATTAATTACGCCAATTTGACTCATTTCTTACAGTTTGTCGGGGGCGAAACTCGATAATCTAGTCACACTGGAGTCAATTTGATCAGTGGTAAAACACGTGCGTCAGACTGAATAGCGAATATATCCACGTAATTGGTATTGAATGGAAGTGAGTTTGGGAAAGGAAGAAACAGAAAGCGAGAGAGAGAGAGAGAGAGAGAGAGAGAGAGAGAGAGAGAGAGAGAGAGAGAGAGAGAGAGAGAGAGAGAGAGAGAGAGAGAGAGAGAGAGAGAGAGAGAGAGAGAGAGAGAGAGAGAGAGAGAGAGAGAGAGAGAGAGTTGAATAAATGAGTGCTTGATATTCTTCTTTAGTATTTGCGCGCGAGAACGTTATTAGCCCGTATGCCACCACTACCTATCACGCCCGCCAAACGTGTCCGGCCACCGATACGCCCGGCGGCGATGCGTGACGTCACCAAATCACGTGGCCGGTCAATGGGGGAGGCGACAGGGCGGTGGCGGCCGCGGCACTGCCACCAGCCAGTCGACGACAAATCACACGGCGAGGCAGATACGTGACCCGTTTGTAATGACGCCACCCGTCCGGGGGGGGGGGGGGGGGAGCCATGACCGGCCGCAGCCCACCGCTCCGGCCTAGACGAGACTGACGTTTGGCCAAGCCCGGGCCAGACATGAAGTCGTCCGACAAAGACCAGACCAGGCCAGACCAGGTTCAACCGAGCCAAGACTGGCCGGGATATGTGCCGCCAAACCAAGGACTGACAGCAGGTCACCTCTGACCCCACTATATTCAGCTCGGTATGAATAGTGCTTAAAGACGTGCCTTTACCTGTTGACGGGTCGGTGAGCCCCGTTATGCCCTCCACCATGTCTAGAGCCATGTCACAAATGCTCTCGGCGTGGTTGGCCCGCTTCTCCGGTGCCCCGGCCACCACCATGTACGCATCGCCGATAGTTTCCACCTGAAAATAGTCTTCAGTCAATAGGAATGTATTTATGCACATAACTATGATGAGAATTGCCAAGCGCCGGGGTTTATTTAAACAGCCTCTAGGGCCTAGCAGAATGTTGAGTAATTGTTACATCAATCTGATATTTTGAAACCCTAAATACAGACCAATCACCTCTGAAAAACCATACCTTGTAGACGCCGTTGAGCTCTGTGAGAGTAAGCCATACCTTGTAGACGCCGTTGAGCTCTGTGAGAGTAAGCCATACCTTGTAGACGCCGTTGAGCTCTGTGAGAGTGTCGAAGATGGAGTACATGGAGTTGAGCATGGAGACAACCTGCATGGGCGACAGCCGGCTGCAGATCTCCGTGAATGTCACCACGTCAGAAAAGATGATGGTGACGCTCTCAAACACCTGCAGAACATCAGAATAAACTCGGTATCAGCCATGGAAAACGCTGTTGCTTGTACTCGTATCGTATTGTGTGGAATTATGTTCGTTGTTGCTTTGTTCATTGCATGACACACCAGTTTACCCCCCCCCCGAATAATAACGTATGTATGATTATCCTGAGATCTGCAACACATTACGCATGTGCTACGAGATGGTATTGTTCTCGACAAACAGCGAACTTGACACTTATTGTGGCTCAACGTTTTTGTAGTGGTAATCACAAAGTCAATGGGTGTTCAATGCATTTCCAGCCTGGCGTGGAAAATCAGGACCGTCAGTGGGATGTGAATCGATTTCCATCACAAAATCCTAGCGAGTTGCTGTTTATAGCAGCTTGAACAGCACAATCACTGCAGCAAGCTTTGTTATATAGGGTTTCATCGTTGCTGGCTCCCGAGTCAATAAAAACCTCAGATTGCTATAACATACACCTCGAAAAGAACCTGGGTTGTAGCAGCGATGGTGGACGCTTGGTTCTCTTCTAACGATCTCAGAGTCGTGCTCGTGACAGACCAGTGCTTTTCTCACCTGTAACTCGATCTACAGGCGTTACTTGGGGTCAACAAGAGTGCTGGTTTAATTATGTACTTAACATATTTGATACTCGTGTTCTCGGGAGTACGGCCCACCAGCAAAAGAGTGGTTGGTTAGCCTATGTGCTTTTAGTGTAATAACTTTGAATGACAGAGACACTCCAGTAATATGACTCAATAGCAATGAGAAGAGGGTCCGTGCACACACTTCGGCAATGGTTTTCAACAGCTATTAGACGTATTCATCAATGCAGATCGCTTGTTGTGATGTTGGCAACCAACCACTTAATACCTGGAGGGCCGTACATCTCGGACAAGAATAGGTTAACGCCAGTACGCCTATGAATGGCTGACCTTGCCAGCTTTTCTGCGTGGATGGGAGGTCCTTACGGCCTCCGACGCCCACCCGGTGGCCGACGCAAGTATTGATCGGAGTCGCCTACGGACGCCCTCTCGCAACATTCTCAGCCCGTGCTTCATTCTCAGCCCGTGCTTTACCCTCTCCGCGACTTTCTCACATCGTGTCCTCTACGCCAACTGAGTTTGACATTGGTTTAAAGCGACTCAGACCTATGTGTTTTGTCATAATGCCCTTTTAAATGTTCTTTTAAATATAGTTGATACTTAACGACAATATCACTGAACAAAAAATCTAATTTTTAGAAACTTTTATATAACTTTTCATCAATTTAATCCTTTATTGATTTTACATAATCGGTCACCCGAAAAAATAGCTTTTGCAATTATGCTCTTAAGTCCGAGCACTCGCTTTATCCAGAGGTTGTCTAGTTTTATATGTCGTTTGACGTCACAGAACATGTCGCGCTACGAAGGCTGCCTCGTCAAATCCTCCCGTTTGACGTCATCATGGGTCCGTGTCAGCACATCCATTCCAGTAGATACTGTTCAATATCTGCTGTCAGCCAGCGTAGATTTGTACGTCCTCCGAGATGGAAAAATAACTTGGCTGGGACCGACAGGGGACGTATGTGGCTTACTATACAATTAGTGACGAGTTGTTACCAGGCAGCAACGGATTAAGATCTGGCAGAGGTGAGAGCGAGCGATAGGGAGATAGGGAGAGAGGGAGGGAGGGAGAGAGAGAGAGGGAGAGAGAGAGAGAGAGAGAGAGAGAGAGAGAGAGAGAGAGAGAGAGAGAGAGAGAGAGAGAGAGAGAGAGAGAGAGAGAGAGAGAGAGAGAGAGAGAGAGAGAGAGAGAGAGAGAGAGAGAGAGAGAGAGAGAGAGAGAGAGAGAGAGAGAGGAAGCAACACAGAGACAGCCAGCAGACAGGCAGACAGAAGAGAAATTCGTTCATTTACCACAAACCGTCAAATGGCATACCAACAATCAAAGCTTGGAGCGTACCTCACACGTGTCGACGGGATTCTCTCCTCGTCTGAGACGGTTGGCCACCTCCTTGGGGATCATCTGGTACAGCAGCTCATCCGTCCTCCGCATCTCCTCGTCTAGTTTCCTCATCGACTCCTCCAGCTTCTTTGATTTGAGCTGCTCTTGGTCCAGCGCTAGTTTCAGCTCGATGGACTGCTGTGTACCGGCGAGCATCAAGTCTCTGTAGGACGAGGGAATGAGGGAGCGTAAACCACTGCAGTGCGGAAAGACAGACTGAAAAACGTGGTGCCATATCTCTTAGGCACCTTTACATGTCTAATACCATCTACAGCATCAGCTAAGGCAGTGTTAATATTTAAAGGATAAATAAAACGTCAGAGTACATCCCCGACATTGGTACTCACCGACTGAAGTCGTGCATGGAGAGGTCGTTGATAAACAGTCCCGTGTGAACCATGGCTTCCAGATCTGGCATCACGGGTGTCCCCAGAAACAGAATCATCTTCCAATCTTCAAAGTAGATCATCTGACCTAAAGGATAAAAAACTTATGTTAATTGCAAAGTCAAGGGCATTGCTAGAGTTTCCAGCCTGAGCTCAACAACTACAAAATGCTCTACGGCTCAAAATTCGTTATAAAGGCTTTAATGAACTAAGTGATAGCTAACCGATGGCCTTTAATTCAATAGCAGTAGGTACACGATAAAAGGTTGTATTTACTAATGATATAAGCCCAAACTTATAAGAAAAAAGTCACGGGCTATGCTCTTATTTTAATGCATTAAATGTGTTGTGAGACAGCCATCGATCAGAGTTTATCTTGCATATTTGACTGACTACTTCTTTTCAGAAGCATCAATTTCAATGCTGACATAACATCCAGACAAGACGATCACCCCGATACCTATATTGGATTTTCATGGATGATGTTTGCCAATAAGGCAACATTGAATTGTATATCACGACAAATCCTTGGCTTGTGCGATTTATGGTCACATGCTACCGTAAAAATCAAGTATTTCTTTATTGTCATGACCTTTCCTCCTTTTCAAAAGTATGCTGAGCCAAAATTAAATTGTTTTAGCGTTTTCAAATATATCGGCCACAGGCCTTCATCAGTGAAATATCCAAAAGAACACAGTGTTCTTTTGGATATTTCACTGATGAAGGCCTGTGGCCGATATATTTGAAAACGCTAAAACAATATAATTTTGGCTCAGCATATTTTTGAAAAGGAGGAAAGGTCATGACAATAAAGAAATACTTGATTTTTACATTAATAATGATCCTCCAACAAGCACTAAAACAGATACAAGTCATATGTTACCCTTTAGCCGAAGGTTGGTGTCCTTTATCACAGCATCCTCTTCAATAACCACGTGCAGGTTGTCAGTCCCGTTGTTCATGTGTCGAAGTTGAGACGGTGTGTCTATCGAGATAAGCTCAAATATATTGTTGGTCTTCTTCAAAATCTGGAAGACATCAGAATCAGTAACCAGGGGCGGCGCCACGGGTTTTCGATAGGGGGGGACGGGGACCGAAAATCGAAAATCCCAAAAGTACATACTGATCGTGTATGCAAAAAAAAAAAAAAGAAAAAACGAGGCACGTAACGCCGCGAAACTTGGCAAGGCCCAAAACACATCGAATGGTGCATCCCGTTTCCAAACTTATCCTAGGACACCTAAGATCGATCACCTTTTCAAGCATCCTTGCCTCTAAATCAAAATTTGCAGTCTTGCCAACTCAAAGCTGGTTTCCTACAAGCTGCGAATTGCTTAGGCATAAGTAGCAGTGCCAGCTATTCTTACATTTCGTACTTTCAAATTTTCGATCTTACGTCTGGTCAGCTTCAGGGCTTCACCATCATATACATAGTCATGGAGGAAAAGTGGGAATGTCTTCTGCTCTGACAAGTGCGCCAAAACTGCAATATAATTTCAGAATCATGACATCACCACCTGATCCATATGCAACGGCCAGGGTGCAGCTAATGGCTAGCCGTCAGTGGTCATGTCATCGGTGGTCACTCAAAAGGCCATGCTAGGTCATGGAAGGTCACCAACCGTTATTAGATCACACTTTCTGATGGATTTTACTTGCCAAGAGCTTCGCGGGAAAAACGAGCGCATGCACCGTTGAAAAAATTGAGTGAAATGGTCTCAGGTCCGGCGACCTCTGCAGGTGAAATGCCCCAGGGTAGGATTCCGGTCCTTGTTGATTAACTTCGTCAAAAATGGCAGTAGAGCTGTGATGTCGGCACCATTGTGTTCGTCATGATCGAGCTGGCACGACCTGCATCGTTCTCATATTCACCCTCCAATCGTAACAACTACAGCAGGGATTGGCAAATGGCGGGGCACCCCCTTTGGGAGGTAATGAAGGTCTCTGGAAACCTCATCCCACATCTCTTAAGCATTAGTGGCTCTCCTTATGGAACAGGTTTCTTGACTGGTCTGTTTCACCCCAGAATTCAAAGACTAGTCAAGGTAAAACCGAGCGCACCACAGTGAGCACAATTTGATAAGCTGGTGTATCTCAATTTTCATGTAGAACCTTTCACGTATCACGGACCTAAAACCCTTTCGTGCACTCATGCAAAAGCAACTGCCATGTTTCAACAGCTGGTAATGGCATTTTCACAGCCGCTGACGTAAGAAGGGGAGGGATGGGGGGCTCGATTAGACCCCCAGCCGTTCGGCCGCCGACCGAACTTAGTTTTGCAGAAAAAAAAACGAGTGCTATCGAACCCCTTGACGAGAGGGAGCCGATGCTATATCCAATTATAAGGTCTTGGGCTACTGCGTGCTTTTTTGGTCCTGCCTGTGATCTATCCGAACACTTCTCCCCACAAGTGCTGGGGTTAAATGGCATAGATTTCAAATGGTTCCTGTGGTAGAACTGCCATGCTTGAATTTGACTCATTAGGAATGGAAAATTTTCATATAGTAACGGAAATCAATGGAATTTCAGCTTGGTTTTATCGGCAATGGGGTCTGGCAGTGGGGTGGGGAGGTAATAAGTAATAACCCTGCCTGGCGCCCCAAAAAGGGGGCACGATCCCCGAGGCCCTGCCGATCACCTTATAACTACAGACATCACAGCTCCACACCTTTTGCAGATGGCCAGGACCCCTGCGATGCATCCCAACAGCAATCTTTATTCAGAACCTGCCTTGATTAACCAACGATGCATTAAATGCCACGGATAACTCTATAATGCATTATTATCAACTATTGAACGGGCCTCGCCGATAGGGGGGTACTGTACCCCCCTAACTTTCGATAGCGGGGGACCTGTCCCCCCCGTCCCCCCCGGTGGCGCCGCCCATGTCAGTAACTGAATATGGTAAAGCCGTTCACAATTACAGGTAATAGGCAAAGTTGCAGCTAACTATGGCATGGAGAGCTGACGTAGTGTGATCTGCAGCTATTTTCAGGCCAATAATAATGTGGAATACATTACATGATGCCCGCACGGATGGGATAACGTGCACTAAGACGAAGACCTCCCAAAAGACAATTCTATGGCCGAGATATACAGCTGAAATGATGTAATCGTGACTCTAATTGGGCCATAGGCTGCTGACTGGGACCAGGGGGGCCGTTCGAAGCCGTGAGTCGGTGCGCTCACCGAGGTGAAGCGGAACTCCACCAGAGGCCGCACCAGGTCGAACCAGTCGTTCAGCCGCTTCCCCAGCAGGTTCGGCAGGATGGTCAGCATCGACTGACCCAAGTTGCGCACCTCCAAGTCAGACCTGAAGACACGCAAGCAATCAAACACTGAATTTGTATAACTCTGTAACAGTCACGTTTGGAGGACTGATGGAAAGAAGGTTTCTTACTATATAAACCTGATTTACAGCTGACAAGTTTCCACAAACCATGTTGTAGTTCCAGTTAGCCACAGGAGCTGGTCTATAGTTATTCTAGGGACTTAGTCTAGCTCCGATCGAAGCAAACTTCCGCTGGGGTGACCGTTGTCGCGATCATTAGCCTATCTCTCCGGATGGGCTAAGCCTGCACGGGCGCCTGAACTAGTGACCACCTTAGCCCAATGTCTTCCCCTTGTCCCTAAGCTCGTGACCCTTATATGCTTTTGCAGGACCGAAATAATTAAATCCAACAAACTGAACACAAACTCTCTGAGAGCTTTGACTTTATTATTAACGACATATATACATTTTAATTAAATCATTAGGTATGTCGATATTCATCCAACCATCATTCTAAACCACTTGGACGAAGTGTCATCAATTTTCGACCAGTTGGAGAGACCAATAGTCAGTTCAGCTTTCCAATTTATGTGCGTCCATTTAGCACGGGAATACCTAAAAGGTAAGCCGATACTCCCCGCTACAGCTTTTTGCTCATTAGGGCTGCATTCGAGAGCTCCGTCTTGCCCCCATCGCCTCCCATAGCCAGGGTTCGGTAACAAAGCAGGCGGCATCTTCGGCGTCGAATCGACCAGTCTTGTCTGTTGGCGCTCTCATGCAATATATCATCCCTTACTTCAAAGTTCAAAATTATTTAAAGGGATAAGGAGAGGGATAAGGATCCTCCCACCTTACAAAGTTAATGAATTGGCAAAGAAGTGATGCACCGTGGTGCAGAAAGAGCAAAAATGAATATCTATCAAACTTTACCGAAAAATATTCGCTGTTTTTTAAGATAAACGACACATACCAACACTTAAACTTAAACTTTTATTTATTTTTTGGGACATCCGCTGTTCCTATGACGTCATTTGAAAGCAATAATTTCAAATTTAGCATCCTAAAAGTGCGGCTGATGTTGCGCGCAAAACAGTGTATACCATACCACAACGTTTTACCAAGGTTTTAGCATAAGATTTAGAAATTGTTAGATCTGCGCTGACGTCACAAATTCTAAGTGGGCATTCAAATGTATTAGCCCCTTAGAATCCGAAAACTGCTGACTTTGGTAATTGCAAGCCAGGGACCCAGATTTGCCTATCTCAACTCAAAACTAATGTTAAATAATGTGAATATTTCATCAATGATGTTTGATGTTTCCAATCCACATATAACACATAAACTACGTTTCAATTATGTAGATGCTATGAAATTGCTCATTAAATTCCTGTTCAAGTGAGATTAACATTAACCAAAAGTTAAATTATCCCTTTTGGCATTGCATTGGATGCATATGCGTGCTCATGTTTCAAGCGATCTAAATCAACGTGTAACTTCTGTCTTTACAGATAAGTAACATCAAATTCCCGTAAAAACAATATCTAACATCTCAAGCAGACCGTTCTACCCCTTTCTAGCTATATTGGTTTATTGGCTTACGATATGGCATGTTTCAGGCAGCATAAAACGCGTGGTGCTTTTTTGTATTCAGCTTGGGGCTGGCTGCGTTGGAGCCGCTGGAAAACAGCATTCAGTGGCTGGACTTTCTCACTAAGGCTTTTCCAAGTACGATGGCGTCGTCAAGGCACACTAACAATGATGTGTGGTGCAGACCGATCAATATCGCTCTCATCTGTCGGCTAAACGTCACGAGAGCATCACAAGGAGCAAATGGCATGCCTACGAACTTCTCAATTCCAAAAACCGTTTGATCAATAAAAACTCACTCATATTACTTGACCTAGACTGACCATTCAATGTACAGTCTGTCTTAAAAGTACCGCGGAAAGTGACGGTGGATCCATCAAGCCTGACCGAGGAAGGGCCTGCTATAATTTGAAAGTGACCGAACCAATTGACCTGGGGAATGCACGAGGATGTCACTTGCTTCGGTGACTCAAATTATAGCAGGTCCTTCCTCGGCCAGGCTTGATGGATCCACCGTCACTTTGCGCGGTACTTTTAAGAGACAGACTGTACTATCAACTTCTGGCCAACTATAAGACGATGTTTAATATTTTTTTTCAAATACCTCCGTCGATGTGTTGAACAAAGGAATGAGTACGAACCTGAATGATTTAATTAGTTTCATCGACTACCTTCATGGATCGAAACGACGGCGGTCCGTGATATCTGATTATTTAATTTATCGGGCACAGTTGGGCACAATACCACAATATCTTTCATGTTGTTAGCATGATGGGTATTTAAGTGTCTTTCTGACCACCCTTGTCTGAATCTCCGGCTGTGGAGTCGATGAGACTGACAATTACATGCTAGAGGAAAAGTACATACAATGTAGATAGAGATAGAGAGAGAGAGAGAGAGAGAGAGAGAGAGAGAGAGAGAGAGAGAGAGAGAGAGAGAGAGAGAGAGAGAGAGAGAGAGAGAGAGAGAGAGAGAGAGAGAGAGAGAGAGAGAGAGAGAGAGAGAGAGAGAGAGAGAGAGAGAGAGAGAGAGAGAGAGAGAGAGAGAGAGAGAGAGAGAGAGAGAGAGAGAGAGAGAGAGAGAGAGAGAGAGAGAGAGAGAGAAACCGTATTTTTTTAGAAGCCTGCTATATTTTATCGTGGATTTCTGGAATGGGATGTGCTGACTCGTGACCAGCGTACACAAATGCTGGCCAGCGTTGCCAAGCACTAACCGACATAAAAGAGAGATAGAGAGGCCAACCGAGGAAAAAGAACTGGCGGAACTTTGTTACCAGTGGCGGACCTACCTTCAACGGTGGGAAATGGTCCTTGTGTGGACAAAACTTTTCACTTTGGTCGTGAGCTTTAACTTAGTTTTATCTCAGGTAGAAAGTTTAGACAGAATAAAACGGAAAGCGTAAACAGATAGTAATGTTTCGATTTTACTTTACATATAATCGTATGAAAGGTCGGCAGAATTAACAATCTATTTAATGCTTGAATTTATAGTTGGCAATTATCAATACGTGTTGGCATTAGCGTCGCCACGGGGGGGGGGGCAAGCGGGGCAGCTTGCCCCCCCAACCTCGGACCGGGCACCCCCTGAGATCGATACAGATCCGATGAGATTTTGGAGTCGGGAAAAAAATGGGGGTACCTTTCTGAGAATGTCCGTGAGGTCAGACTCGGTTGGAGCGTGCAGTTTAAATCAGAGTCTGACTCGCAGTCGCCAAAATCTTCAAGACTCCGAGTCCAGACTCGGAAATGTCAATGCTGTGATTCATTCCATGTTCCTAGTTCGTTCTTTATTACATTTTACAGCTGATTTTCATAAGTTTTGGAGTGCTGACACAATATTCGTTCAAAGCGTGAAACGAAATCTTCGGGGCCTTTCTCAACTCTCGCCAAATGTCTGCGACAGGCTCAATTACCGTGCAAGTGTCGGAGGGCTCATGAGCTTGCTTTACAAAGGCTCCTAAGGAGCTCCACTGAGCCCTGAAGAAGCTTTCAGAGGGCCCAAACGGGCTTCTGAAAGTCCCACTGGTGTCCATGTTCTCTGAGGGCCCATACAGGGATCTTTGAGCCTTCGAACATTTCTGAGAACCTTAACTGGCCTCTGATAGTTCAGCCAAACTTTTGAGGCGACAGACTTTGCTAACCCCAAGCCGGCATCTGAGGGGTCGCAGCTCACGTGTCCCTCTGAGGTCCGCAACACATGTTTATTATGTCCCTGCGTAAGGTCCTTAGGGATTCGACACAGACCCCGAGGGTTCACACTGTTATCCGAGGGCTCCAGGCTCACCCTGGGCCTAGTCTCTTAGCGCCCGCCGCCCACACTGGCTTCTGAGGGCCCCACCTTGGGCTCGGAAAGCCCTAAAGCACCACGTACACGTAAATATTTGAGGTGACCCACGCCGATCTCCGGGATCCTAAGCATGCTTCTGAGAGTCAGCACTGACCCTGAGTGGCCTGAAATGGCCTGGAAGTCCCAAAACTATCTCTAAGGGATCCCTTGCCGCTATGCCGTGCGTAACTTTTGGTTCCGTTTAACAGTTTTTGTTCGCGTTTGCAGCGCTTCCCTTCACACGAAAAACGAGAAACTTTTGTTCACACTCGAGTGAACAAAACACTTCCTCTCACTTGAGCAAAGATGAATTACTTCCGATTCACACTTCCGACATTCACTCTCCGCCGAATGCCCAACTTAGCTACGATCGGTGGCTGGGATAAGTCCTATGCATTTCACGTAAAACCTCTGCATGCATGCGTGAATCGTGGTTTTAGCAGGGTGATCCGATTAAATGGAGCGTTTTTCACCTTTTTCTGGGTAATGATCATGAGCGTCGAGCGTCTACACAGGGGCCCTCTGCAGTGCGTCGGCAATCGCAGCCACTATATACTATAATTCTACCAGTCGTTTTTGTCATGAAATTTAAAAATTTCGAATTTTTATGTAAAAAATTACATGTCATAGCTAGAAGAAAACCTTTGTCACCATCGGATTCCTCGCACCATTGCGCGTCGAATGATATGTAAAACGAGTGAGTAAAGACTGGGAAAAGGCAAGTTTTAACACAAAAGTTGATTTTGCCCCCCCAACCGAAAATCTCTGGCGACGCCTATGCGTGTTGGCGTTCGCAATTGCCTTTTTTTCTGCGTCACTTTTGCTCATTTAGTCTACGGGGATCATAACCTTTGTAAGTGCTGCTCACCTCCCAAATAACTTTTCTAATTATTGCTTACATCAATGTTATAATTAAAATCAGAGAAATGAATAGCAAGCAAGGAGATATGACTGAATTTAACTACTGGCTGAATATAAACGCGTGATTATCTGTGTTACGAGGCACATATAATGTAATCCCAGCTCGTTACATCCGAGCAGTGATGGTGGCTCTCACGCGAAGGCGATGGAGAATGGGAACAGCTCGAAGATGATGCTGGCCCGGATGGGCAGGCTCTGTTCGTCTCGCACCAGCTGGAAGCTGTGCTCCTGGCGGTACGCTCCGTTGTCGAAGGTCAGCTGATATGTCACGTGGAACGAGTCCATGAAGGCGTCTTCTCGGATCAGCTCGATCTGCATATCCGTGTCGTAAAAATGGCGAGCCACCTGCCGGTCGAAAAACAGCGAAGACTCGTTTATAATCTTTACGATGGGTAAAATAATGCAATATATAGACATTTCGAGCAAGCTGTTATTGGTGTTCGTCTCAGTTCTACATACTTTTATATAACTGTTTTATATGCTTAGTTATTTATCGTAGCTTCAATGTAAAAGTTTCATTGCTATAAGTTAAAACTGATAAGATTACAAAGTTAGCGTGCATGGAGTGATTTTTATGCAGCAGCCCACCTGTTTGATCTGTCCCATTGCGTAGAAGCCGTACCCCTTCCGCTTGCTTCTATAATGCAGCACCATTCCCGATGCCGTCTCTCTCTCACAGAAAAACGACGGTGGTCGCATCCTCGGATATGAAAACTTGAGGTATTCATGCAAGTTGTCCAGGCCTGGAAAATAACGTCATATATGAGCAGCAGTGCCAGGAGCTGATCAGAGTTTATATACCGACACTATAATGTAGCTGGATGAGCTCTCAAAGATTCGAATCGAATCGGTCATTGTATGTAAATGAGGGGCAAACGTGACAAAAACAGCAACAGCTGCGACATGATTATTTTGTTGATGTGGGATGTAAAGAGCAGCATAAAGTAGGCTGTATGGAGAGCAGCTAGAAGTAGTAAGCTGGCACATGACTTTGGCACACCAGCAGGACGAAGGAGCGTTCTTGGTTTATTGAAAAACTCGAAACTCAGAATAGGATAAAAATGTAATTGATATTATTTCTTCATTTGTTTATTTATTCAATTTTTAGTGACGTACGAATTCTAGGTTGAAGATTAATTTGCCGATTAAGGCTAATCACATTAGACCTGCTCTCTGCTTTTGGGTTATGCTGGTAGACTGTACCATCGCTTGAGAAGCCTCATGCACAATTTGCATGAAATAGGTCTCATTTTTCGATGTTATTAACTAAAACGCTGGTGCTGAAAACATCGCTGACGAGTCGTGAGAGACTCACACCGAACATACCTACAGCAATAGTCGCACACGGTTTAACAGTCATGGTAGGTATGTGCGATTGGATGAGCCTTACCAGGAAAGATCGCTTATCAATCGGCGGCATGAGAACAATGTTATAGGTGCACAAAAAACGTCCCCACTACAAGATATACTCGTAGCTCTGATTGCCTCGTGACGCTCTCATCATATCTTTTATCCAATGAAAAGGTCATAACTTACTTGGCGCTCACTCATGAAAAAATATTACGCGTCTTTTCAGTTGAAAACGTTATGAGCTACACATCACCGGTAAATCACAGTAAAGATCCCTACAATCAGGAGCAATAGGATACAGGGACACGGTCGACAAAAAGCTCACGCAAAAAAACAGCCTTTAAGTTGCAGGCACATTTTCATCATGACGTTCTCACAATGTTCTCAAAAGAGCGTATAGTCGCCGACCATCAGTTTGTCCCGACTGAGATTAATGAGGTAAAAGACAAGTGGAAATATAGAAACACAGCGTAAAATAAATAGTTTGTAGCATGCTTTTAGTGACTAGGTAAGCCAGGAGTTGAGTATAGAAAAATACTCAAAACAAAGATATCAAAACATTAAAACGAATATACCAAATATGCTGACAATGACAAAAAAACGACATTTTAAATGTTTCAAATACCCGTTAGTTGTTGTTAGATTTCGATATAAGAATCAAATAAGTAGGGCGTAACTATCTATTTTGTTTTCTTTTATTTCTACCGCAATTCATCTTTTAGACGGCATTTCACGTCGTGGTCGGTAACAGAGTGGCTCCGATATGAGCTTTCGAATGAAATACCGGCACCCTCACCGAGCTGTCGGCGCGTGCTTACCGTTCAAAAAGTCCCTGACGTGCCGCCCCAGCACTGAGAGCACCCTGTCGTAGCCGTACTGTCCCACGAAACTGACGAACGTAGTGCCCATGTTCTCAAAGAACTGCTGCTCGGTCACTCCCAGAACCTGTGACAAGAAAGAGAGAGAGAGAGAGAGAGAGAGAGAGAGAGAGAGAGAGAGAGAGAGAGAGAGAGAGAGAGAGAGAGAGAGAGAGAGAGAGAGAGAGAGAGAGAGAGAGAGAGAGAGAGAGAGAGAGAGAGAGAGAGAGAGAGAGAGAGAAAAAAAAAATAGAGAGGAGACAGAGGCAGAGACAAAGAGCTATGGTGGTTAGATAACGGGATGAGCCGAGCACATTAGGTACTGGTAGGGAAATAATTTAAAATCAGGATGATTTACGCCAATGCAGGACAAAACCTATGCATCACCGATCTTACATTCAAGTCCTGATAAACCTAAAACGAGCTGAAAGAACTTGGCGGTGACTTTAAATGAAGCTGACTATTGATGAATCAACAACCTCTCGTAAATATCAATATTTCATTGCAATATGCAATGGCCTGCCAGTTCAGCTATTATCTGACTGGAATTTTCATTTCTGTCGTCATAAAGCTGTCATATCTGTAGGATAACTGTCATAACTTGGCAATTACTCCATAACCTTTGACAATGTTGATGGCTAGTTCAGGAAACATCATTTAGTCAACCGATAAGGCGTTGAGCTGAAAAAGCCTCAGGGGGCTGCAACATTCCATTTCACGAAGCTATAAGTGTCAACTGTCCCTGTGTAGAGTTTAGAGCCATGGACCCCCGGAGCTTCTTTACAACAGCCTCTCCCAATGTCACACCTACCTTGCAGGCGACCTTGGCCAGTCTGGGAAGCAGGGCCTCTGGGTAGACCTGGTGCGTGGAAAAGGACGGCATGTCCACCATCGCCTCCCGTCGGATGTGGTCCCACTGATCCTCGCCGTACGTCGTCTTGATAAAATCGGCCATGTTTTCCAGCAGGAGTCCGTACATGGCTGCGACTCGCCGCGGCGCTGCCGCTCACCGTCCCCTCAGTCCAGTCCAGTCACTCGGCTGCCCCTCGCAGCTCGAGCCTTGGCGTCCCCGGCGTGCTCTAAAAGCACCGCTCGGCGCTGTGACGGACAGATGCTGAGCGGAACAGAGTTGTCTAGAAGGTCATGCCATGGCTTAGAACTCCTGTCGATTCTCTCTTTTTCCGTCTATCTCTCTACCTCTCTCTGTTCTGGATGACTGGCTTTATTACGTTTCCTTGATGCTCTCGCTTCAGAACCAGTCTGCTTTGGTTCCTGTCGGCCTTTTACCGTTAGGAGATGCTACTATACATATCAAAGTTTCCTTGTTGCGATTAATATGCAGCTCTGCGAGCTCCTTGGTGCCACGATGATGAATGCTGCAGTTTGGAGTCCGTGACCTTCGTGTGTTACAGAGCATAGATGTTCACCGAACCGCTGCTGCTGACTGAGTCAGGGTCGGTAAGATATTAACGTGTCTGGAAGCGAAAGCAGCACCGTCACCACTGATGTATCGGGTCATAGTTGTGAAATAAAATGGCTGAACAGTGACAACATGTAGACGGATGTTGCTAATTACAATTTAGACGACAACTCAGTCAAGGACAGGAAGCTATTTTTCGGGCTTTTATTGTTCACAACCCTTACATGAACGGTTACAGTCAATTATTAATGCTCCCAAATAGGCCAACCCACTTTTGATGACCCCTTTTACTTCACCTTATACATAATCTAAATCCTTACATGATATCATGACCAGAGCTGTTTGATAAGTTTTCCATTAGTTATTCCTTCGCAAGCCGAGAGCTGCGAGATTTATGTAAACGCCACACCGATAATTTCAAAGCTTCTGTCACGACCTATACAGCCATGAAGCTTCCGAAAATAAATAGAGAGCATCGAAGCTGCATTAATCAACCAAAATGTATGGTAGGCCAGAGCTAAGAGTGCAGTTTAGGTTACTTTTTATAAATGAACGTGTGAAATATGTTTCTTTTCTAGACTGAATAGTCCGTCATTGACCTTCAAAGGGTAGCGCTCACATGGAAATGATGACACAATGCTATAATTTAGCATACCGATGCACAGCAAAGTGTTGCATATATGGCTAAAAGTTCGGTTCGATCCCATTATCTCCGGTCTATCCGCCAGATTATAAGAGGATCACAGGCAAATTCTCCTTTTGTATGTACGACAGATACTACCTTTTTTGCCCGATATTCCTTTCCATCGGAATGTTCCTCTAAAGATACACAGTATCATTCGATACCTATTTCGCAGTTACATATTGCAAAACGTTGCTTTTCTCGGTCCTTTCATCACGTTAATAGCGCTACTATTGTAGCTTAAAAGCTACAGTTAAGTATAAGCAGTTAGTGTTTTTCCATCTCCGGTTTGATCCGATTGAGCTGCAATCAGAAGAGCGATCAGCCTACACAGAAGGAGCTGCTAAATCAATATTCAGGATAGCATCTATACTCAATTGCTTCGGTTGACGTGAAGCTGATTGACAAAGGTGATACAACACTTGTGAACTTCGTACATATAACAGGTCAATAGTGAACATTGAATCATTGCATTCACTCGCTACCCCCGCTCCTCTTATCATCTATGCATATCATTTTAGTTAAAAAAAAAAATCCCCAGCATATTTTTCCGAGAATAAATTTTAGTGAAGACATTCTAAAGCGACGAAACACTTGGAATGTGGTCAATTAGAGAAATAGGATCAACTGATACGTAGCATGATCTTCTGGCTTCTCAAGTCAGCTCATGACGTAGACATAAGGTCAACTATATAAGCTGATCTGTTACAATGCCCTTTTATCCGATGTGTCTCGGCAGGAGAAATATACGACGCCGGTAAAATGAGCCTTCGTAAATCTCTGTAGCAAATGTTATTGCGAAAAATGAAAACATCAATTTTGAGAGTTTTGCCTTTTGGAAACTGAGCCAATTTTGAATCGGATTTGGCAAAAACGCCTGGAAAACATGGAATGTTTTTAATATGCTTGCTATAACTTTTCATAAGTTATTCATTCAATTGAAAAGACCGGGAGAAGTTGACCTCGGTGATGTCCTCTGATGACCTGAACTTTGACTTCACGTGAAAGTAATCATCTTATGACAGTAAATGTTACCATTTTTGACGCTCTTTCGAACAACCACTTGCCACGTATCACTACGTGACCCAGGGGCCGAGTTGGAGAGGAGGTGCGTAAAAGCGGCTCCCTGCCTCGAATGCGACCTTTACAAGTGTTCCCAGTTGTACCTCGTGTCAAGCGTCACAATCTTTTTCAGTTATTTTTTCTTTTACTTTAAAATGATTTTACGGGGTTTAGATATTGCATCAAAAGACCTGCTCAATGCGCCTCCCGATCTGTATCCTCCTACTAGTAAATGCTTTTTCATATATTGCATGTCTAATCAGTTCATTTTAGATGCGTACTGCAAGTTGCAATCTGGAAATGACCTCGACCATCCTCGACAAGTCAAGGAGCGAGTATGATAAATTTCCAAAAGTAGCCGATGCTCATTTAACAATAGGTTATGCAGTAGCCTGCTGTAGCTCATAGCTCACCTGACCCACCGTTGTTAGCTCAGCCAGCTCACCGTCGGTAGCTCAGCCAGCTCACCGTCTGTAGCCCAGCTCCCTCCGTCAGCCGCCGGCAGCGCGGCCCACCCGCCGCGCCCGGAGAGCCGTCCTGGTCGGCGGTCACCCTCAACTGGCCGACGCTGCGTCGTCGCCGACAGACAGAGCAGAGAGAACGGGCAGAGCGGCGGCAGCGCAGAGCGCCGCGTCGCCGCCGCCGGCGCAACAGGTCGCAAGGGACGACGTGGGACACTCGGAGGCCGCGCGAGTGGCGGTCAGAGGGGCCGAACCGGGGACGACCATCAGCGCCACGGGCCGTGCCGGTGTATCCGTGCAGTTCGCACTCTGTTCATGTCCATCTAATTTGATTTTAAGGCTGCGATTGCTGCGTACAACGCACTTGTCAGTTGTCAAGTTCAGATCAGTTTGTCATCAGATGCGTCTTTGCCGTATCCTACATGTCTTTAGTGTGGCTGCTAAGCGCTTGATCAGCTACGAACGATTGTGTCATTGCGGCTGGCTGCATGATGAAACTACTTATGAGAGAAAGTATAGGAAAGGGCCCTGGCCCCTGAATGTACATATAGGTAGCTAAAAAGAATAGCCACATTCCGGGCCATTCTAAGAACAAGAATAATCATTTGAGTAAAGGTCAGTATTTATTCTGCACGAATAAATGATGATGGAATAAAATCATATAAAATAACTAGATTGAATAATACATATTTTTTAATTGTTTTATGTTTTTCTAAAGACGTCAATGACGGAGAAGATCTGCAATTTTGTGACAATTTGGTCGAATGGTTATCTGATATCCAAGCATTATTTCTCAACTTCTTCTGCCGTCTTATTGTTCTCCATCCTAAGCTATCGATAATGACAGGCAACCATAGCATTGTCTTGTCATTAAATTATCTAGTTTCCAATGTTTAAGGCTTCCCATGTGCCTAACAACTGTTCAAAATCCTGTCAAGAAATCGTCAAAACGTCTTGTGTTGCCATTGCAGCTCATACCGTTCCCCAGAGCCTCCCCGTGCCGCGTGCCGCTCCGCCAAGTGCCCGGGCAGTGTCCGGTGCCCTTGCCGTGTCCGTGCCCCAGTCGTGTCCGGTGCCCGGGCCGTGTCTGTGCCCGGGCCGTGTCCGGTGCTCGGGCCGTGTCCGTGCCCCTGCCGTGTCCGGTGGCCCGGGTCGTGCCCGGCGGCCGGCGGCGACTCCCTTGTCGGCGCCACCGAGACGCCCGGGCCGTGTTCCCTGTGTTAGCGCGGCCGGACATCGGCCTGCTCTCGCGCTGATGAAAGCCCGCCGGCCAACGGTCAGCGCAATGACCACAAAAAGGTCCGCAGCTCACACCTCGACACGATGAATGTGGCAGCAATGAGGTACTCACTGCTCACACACTTTCCTGAGCAAACTCTTCACAACTATGTACGAGTAACATAAGGAAAGTTACATACCTACTTACCTATAGTCTGACAAACCGGAGAAAGGACCGAGTTCAAAAGCGCCTGAATCACTTTGTACGTGCTTTGCGCACTGGATATGTATGGTTCGGCGCAAGGTTCGGAGCAGATTCGTGTGAAAAGCCGCGAGATAAATGTTTTTTTTTTGTTCTCGGATATGTTTAGGCACAGATAACCTTGCAGATAACAGTAGTGCAGTAACAGTAGTAACAGTTCTATTGTTAGTTGTGGTCTAGGCAATATAATGTAAATAATCCCGCACCGTAGACAGTGTTTACCATTGCTTCACGTGCAAAGAGAGAAAATTATCAGATGTCGTTTAACTGATTTGTTAAACGTCTAGTGACGATTAACCACGGCGATTAACAAACTGTTAAACGTCTAGTAGACATTTCTGCCATTTTACCGTCTCGTTATTTTCACCAGTATGCGCTGGGAAACGCAATGAAACATCATTTTACTTTATTTTTTAGTTGTATTTGGGATTTGATCTTCAATGAACTGTCGATTTCAGACCGATCACATTGTTTGGACCGTTTTTCAAAGCTTTATCTATCTCTGCTTCTCTTTGTCTCTTGCTCTGCTGAAATATGTTGTATATTTCATATAAAATGTATTTTTTAACTTTAAGCTCCCAAAAGATATCGGCGGTACGGGATAAAATTATTAAACCGCTCGTAGGTAGAAATATCTTTTAAACGTCTCGCCTTATCGGCTTGACGTTTAAAATATTTGTTCTACCTACTCGCGGTTTAATATCTATTAAAGGGACACTCCCACCTTAACATTAGTTTTGAGTTGAGATAGCCAAATTGGTGGCCATGGCCTGAAAATACCGGTTTGGGCATTCACAACATCGAAAAATGCTTTAATTCGGAGATATGGAATTTCAAACTTGCAGTTTTCGGATTCTAAGGGGCTAATGCATTGGTATGCCCCCTTAGAATTTGTGACGTCAGCGGAGATCTAACGATTTTTAAATGTTTGACTAAAACGTTTTGTAGCACGCGGTGGTATATGCTATTTGCGCGCAACAACTGCCGCAAACGCCGCACTTCTAAAATAAAGTCGCTAGAAACAGCGGAGATCCTAAAAAGTAAACAAAAGTGAAAGTCTAATATCTTGAAAACCGGTGAATATTTTTCGATGAAATTTGGTAGATATTCATTTTTGCTGTTTCTGAACCGAGCGACATCACTTTCATGCCAATTCATTAACTTTTTTGAAGGTGGGAGGGTCCCTTTAAACCGCGAGTAGGTAGAACAAATCTTTTAAACGTCGAGCCGATAGGCGAGACGTTTACAAGATTTTTCTACCTACGAGTGGTTTAATAATTTTATCCCGTACCTCCGATATCTTTGGGGTGCTTAACCCGCGCCCCACTGGGGGGGGGGGGGCTATTTATAGCCCCCCCTCCCGTTTTTCTGCAATAACTTCCAAACCGCTTGACGGATCGACGCCAAACTTTCAGTACCTTCGGCTGCATCAATTTGACACCTTGTGTTAAAATTTGAACTTCGTAGCTACCATAGGTCGGCCGGTAATGACGTCAGAGTGACGTCATGTTCGTCCGATTTCGGCGCAAAACATTGAACCACGGCAATCGCTCCCAAGAGCTCAGTTTTTAAGCTAGATCCAATTTCTTTGCATGAAAGGACTCAGAATTGACCGCGCTATCAAACTGTTATCTCGGATTTTCAAAATTTTGAAAATTTCGAAAATCTTATATAATAATATTCAAAATTTATATTTTTACATTTTTTTCAAAAAGTTTTTGACTTTTCGAAAAAAAACGGAATATATTTGACAGAACGCATGATTATGACTAACTCTAGCAAGTTTTAGCCAAATATCTTCAAAAATGGCCAAGTTATACGCATTATTGCAAAAAATTCACAATTATTAATTTTTCAAATCAATTTTTCAGTGCGTATTTGACATCGTAAACCAATATAAATGGCACCATCGTGTTCCTGAGCTCAAACTGCATCCAATAGACACCTTTTTTGTTGAAAAATTTTAACTTCAAAATTTGACCTTTTTTGACCTGAAAGTGACCTGACCTAAGCTAAATTCGACTCAAAATGACCTCGAATGACACAGACGACATCAAATTCGAAATCTATGGCCTAAATGGACCATAAAACATGTGTCACGTGACCGACGCATGATATAATATTTTCGTGACCTGTGATGACCTGACCCTGACCTGAAAATCAAAGTACAAGTTTGGTACCCTCGAGGTATCTAGAGCATCTGCTCACGAGTGTGGAAACCAAAAATGAGCCTGATCTGACTTGTAAGACGGCGGCCAGAGCCCAAAATGTGAACAAGCCAAATTGCTAATAATTTTTACTTTGACCTGACCTGTGACGTCATCGGTGACCTCGAGGTCAATGAAATTAGGTTTCGCTCGACAGTTTTTCCGGGGCTATCAGACGCCGTTTGAATTTTGACGATCGGCCCAGTAGTTTCGGAGTTAGGAGGGGGGGCTATGAATAGCCCCCCCCAGTAGGGCGTGTTATACACAGACCCCAGTGGGGCGCGGGTTAAAGGTAAAAAATGCATTTTATATAAAAATACGACATATAACATGCTGGTCACCCTGCCAACGATAACCTTTTGCCACGCAATTATCAACCGTGTATGACTATCCCCGTTACATAGGGATTTATTGTCGATCCATCTACAAGGCGACTACGCGACTGATGACATCTCTATAGTGCCGTATCCTGGTGATTGCCGATCCGTTCTGTCAGTCGCACTCGGCCAGGAAATGGGTCCGATAATTGCCGCTGGCTGGCTGCGGCACGCCACCCGGCCGTCGAGCGGCGCCATTACCGGAGACACGGTTATCCGGTCACGAAGCCGCATGCTCCGCGACAATTTGGCGAGCCGGCCGCTGCCGAAAAGGTTCTCGGCGGCCGGCTGCCGTGACGGCGTCATCGGCCACCGATGGCGTGCCCGCAGATATGAGCCACTGCCGGCGCGCCGGGACTCGGCGGGACGAGGAGTCGGCGCGGCGGCACGCGACCGACGCACTGCTGAGAACAGCGACCGTGGGGTAGGCGTCACTCGTCAGAGGGGTCACTCGGACTGTCCGTCTGTCTGTCTGACCGTGTCTGCCTGTCAGCACTCTGTCCCCGCCTCCATCTCTCTCTCTCCCTCTCTCTCTCTCTCTCTCTCTCTCTCTCTCTCTCTCTCTCTCTCTCTCTCTCTCTCTCTCTCTCTCTCTCTCTCTCTCTCTCTCTCTCTCTCTCTCTCTCTCTCTCTCTGTATTATACCATTCGGCCACTTCGCTATCAACGCCACCATTATCTAAATGTGCATGCTTTCGCATCGGCGCTACGACGCGCGTGTCGCCTTATTTACCCACTGCACAGTGTCATCTCACACGGTGCGTCAGCCGCAACTCCTTTATAGGAAGGAGTTGCGGCTGCTTAAGGCTGACGCACCGTGTCCGTAAACAATTAGTTACAAAAAAATGAACAGTTATACGAGACACGAGCCGACACAGGCTTTGCATTGTTCAGAGAGATTGGTGCTCGTAGGTATATTTGAATTCAAACCGGGCGGAAGATAAATGTCTCAGAAGTCAGATGTCAATAATATGCACGCATGTTACGTAGTTAAGTAGGTACGTTTACGATCTATTTAGAGGCATTGAATATGGTGCCCTCAGGTGACCTCGATGACCTCCAAAGGTCAACTCGGTGATTTCGCCTATCGCAGATTTATCATCTGTTTCGAATATGGTGACCTCAGGTGACCTTGTTGACCTTGAAAGGTCAACATGACGTTTTCGCTTATGGAAGCCATTATATAACCGTGGAAGTAGTAAGTACTGCGCTGCTCGAGACAAAAACACCACAGTCGATCCACCGTATGCGATTTCATGAATTGTTTTGAATATTATGACCTCAGGGGACCTCGGTTGTCGGTGACCTTGAAAGTTAAACGTGACGTTTTCGCCTATGGAAGCCATTCAATAACTCAGACAGAGCGTAGGTATGTACTGATCCGATCGGGACGAAAATGTCACCAGTCGATTCGCCGTATGCAATTTAATAAGCCGTTATATATAGTTAGCTGAAGCTCAGGTGACCTCGGCAACCTTGGAAGGTCGGCTTGACGTTTTCGCCTATTGCAACCATTCTTTAGTTCAGGAAGGTCACCTGAGGTCACCATATATTCGAAACGGCTGATGAAATCGCATACGGTGAATCGACTGGTGTCATTTTCGCCTCAATCTGCCCAGTGCCCTGTAGGTACTTTCTGAATTATAGAATGGCTACAAAAATATCAAGACTCAAGTTGACCTTTCAGGGTCACGGAGGTCACCTGAGGTCACACTATTCGAAACGGCCGTGTATTTTTTTTTTAAATCGCATACGGTGAATCTACTGGTGGTGTTTTCGTCTCGATCAGCCCGGCACCTCTTGGAGTTATAGAATGGGTTCAATAGGCGAGCACGTCAAATTGACCTTTGAAGGTCACTGAGGTGATGAGGTCATCTGAGGTCACTTTATTTGAAACGGCTAATGAAATCGTATATTCTTATTCGAAAATTCCTACTATTGTTCCAATCAACCCGGTACTATCTGAGTTATAGAATGGCTGCAAGGGTGGCGGTCGAGTAGTGCTGTGTTGGTCAATTTTTGTTGAACTGTTGATGCTGCTAGAGAGCGCTATTCTGAACAGATATTGTCGACAAACCTTTACATTCGCCATATTCGTCTGTTCTTTAACCAGCGGCGGGATTCTGTTGTTATTTTCCAAGTAAAGTAGTCAAATAGTCCAATAGGTACTTGAAGATAAATTAGTTTAAGTTCAATTAATTGATATTGTTTGGCATGCACTTTCACCAAACCTGTTAGATTCTTGATCACTAAACTGAATTAAGTATTTGGGCTTGATTTCTTTGGCTGGCGCGTCACACGTGACTGTACCGGCTGTACCCAAGATTCTTCAAGATGCCAAGATACCAAGAGTCTTCAAGACTGTACCCACAGTGTATCAGTATATAAATGCTGTACCTCACCCCTTACTCAAAGGAAATAGTTCACTTTTAACATGGGGTTTGAACTGGAATCAGAATAGCAGTTTCGTAACTTGAGCTGAGACAAGGATAAATAAGCTGTTACGGCTCAACGATCACCCTAGGCAAAGATATTCCATTTCTCATCCCGTATAAAGGTGCCTTGCTGAAGAATGTGTGCCTTGTAGGGGCCATTTCGCTCTTTGAAAACTGAATAGTTCTTCGAATATTAAAATATAGAAAATAATCTTTTTAAAAAGGTTTTATTTTCTTTGCCTATCATTTTGAGCTTAAAAAATCATAAATCCATTGCAAAATAAACCTAATCTTGTGAAAGTGAACTATTCACTTTAAAGATATCCCATATGTCATCCCAAAATAATCCCTTTACGATACGTAGGAGTAGGAATATTTTCCTTGCGAAGGAATGCCAAGCTTGCAGCCACTTTTGGCAGAGGCCAGTCGTCTGCCTCTCAGCATTTGGTTTGTTTGAGCTAGCTCAGCTAGGTAATATGACTGGTCAGTAGTCAATACATAATCAGGTTCTGCAATCAGCTGCTGCAGACAGTATCTATCAGAGCGTCTTCCAAAAATGAAAATAGTACCTATGTCCTCAATAAAGATATTTAAGATTTTTTTCTTGAGTTTTGGTGATCATTTTTTGCATGAAAACTGAAAACTGTAGCAAAAAAAAAAAACTTATTTGAGGGAAGTGGATGCAATGATAGGTCTGTGGTAATAGGAAGGTGCCCATGCTAATGAACACTGCCTATTGCCATGCACGTCCTAACTTCCCAGTATTTCTTCATTGGTTTGATGTCTGGGCCACTAAGAGAATCAGTATTTGCTTGTTGAATGAAATTATATTTCTCAACTCCTTACTTTTGAATTCATTCTAAAAGAGCAATGAGAATGGATTAAAAATGTATACAGCATTTAATAACAGTAAATATGCAATGTTGATCCAAGAGATTCAACAAAAATGTTAATTTTTTAACACATATGTGTCATGAAATCATTAGGCATTTCTTTACTCTTGAAATGATGGAAATTGCTATGAAAAGTTCTTTGTTTTTTTACATATGTTAGTTTAGTGACATGCCTATTATGCATGTGTAGTGTGTACCATACAATATACATATCTACCATACTATTGTGTACCATACCATTAACCATACCATGCCTACCTACTTGCAGAACTGAGCTTCCAGTCAAATCTGATCTTAGCAAATAATAACGGTAAGCTGTAGCCTCTTGACGACCTGTAAATAACTTGCTAATATTTTCTGAGGGTGTTGGATTTGGAATAATACCTGAAAAATTATAAAAAGTTACTTGAGCTCTTTTCTGTGGTGCTTTCTGGAGGCGCTGGAACAGACCCATTATCAGTTGCTGGTAAAGGTTTGGCAGCTGGTTTGAATTTGAGTGCAGCTGTCCAGTAGCTTTTGTCATAACGGGTCACAGGATCCACTTCCACAAAGACACATAAGGACACTGCTTGATCAGTAGCACTTAACCAATAAATAAGGCTACAGTGTTGAGCTGTATGCCAATGTGAGGACAAAGTAGTGTTAGGAGGATGTTGGGCATGTCCTTATGGTAGGTAGGCCATAAGCCTGCTGAGTGCTGACAAAAAGGAGGCTGAAATAACTAGCTGAAAATGATCTGTAGCCTCATGCAAAAAAGATCACATTATTCACATGACTGATAACATTGACATTTTTATTGAATTGTAAAGGCAGAGCATATGACATTGTCCAACTAATTGTCAGAGAAATGGTTTTAATTTACTTCTAATATAAGTCTAAATTCTAATGATAACTGTCTGTTGTTATGTTGCTCAGGAGTGGGGCAAAATAAATAAAGAATAAATTAACCTCTCTTTGCCACTCTGCAAAGGCTTTGGTGGCCCGACATTTTGATTTTAGGTACTGATGTTTTCTGCTTGGTGGATTTTTTTAACCAAAATGCCATATTTCAGTTTCTCAGGCACGATCGTGTCGTGGTCTTTTCTCGGGTCTCGCCGAACTAATTAGCCAAGATGGTGGTGCGTTCGTACGACGAGGAGCTCAAGTACTTGGAGCGCCTGACACCGCACAGCTGGCGCATCAAGAAGGGCTTCCAGCCGAACATGAACGTGGAGGGTGTGTTCTACGTGAACTCGCAGCTCGAGCGGCTGATGCTGGATGAGCTGCGCAACTCGTGCCGGCCCGGCGACGTCGGCGGCTTCCTGCCCGGTGTGAAACAGATCGCCAACGTGGCCGCGCTGCCCGGCATCGTGGGACGGTCCGTCGGACTGCCGGACGTGCACGCCGGATACGGGTTCGCCATCGGTTAGTGCGGCCGAGGGATTTTACATTTATTTGATTACATAGGATCTATGAAATGGACGACATAGCAGAGCCGAGAGTGACTCGGTGTTAAGTGTTCGGTTCTACAGCTATCGCTTGACGGTTGTTGGTATTTACTTTGATTCTTTTGTAGTTTGTTTTGAAAGGTTGGCCGTGCGCGTCCAACGCGCCCTGACCTTTGGTACAGCTTCTGGGTGTCGGCTCGGGATGATTCTGTAAGACTGCCACGCTGTTACCTGATCCTGTTTGTTCTCACAGGCAACATGGCCGCGTTCGACATGTCCAACCCCGAGTCGGTGGTGTCTCCGGGCGGCGTCGGCTTCGACATCAACTGCGGTGTGCGACTGCTGCGCACCAACCTCAGCTACAAGGACGTGCAGCCCATCCAGGTGAGGATGCAGTGAGGGGCGCTGTCGCTGGTGGGGATCCGTAGCTTCGAATGATAACCGGCTCATTTTGGTTGGCCTATCGGTGGTGTTTTGTTAATGTGTTTTTGAGTAGGACGTACATGGTGTTCTTTTTAGCACCGACGGTCGGTATCTTTTGCATTTATACTTTATGATAATTATTAATTTAACGTTTGTTTTGATGAGATTAGACGCTTACCATGTTTTTAACCCTATTCCTGGCGGGGGGGGGGCTCAGGAGCCCCCCCCCTGAGGTTTTTTGTTATTTCTCCCAAACGCGTTGAGCTAGGAAGCTCAAATTTTCTGACTTTTCCCATAAGGCTTCTACGCAACATGTCTGAAAATTTTGAGTTGATCTGACCTCAGGTCAGGTCACCAGAGGCGGTTTGGTGACCCTACCTCAGAAAAGTTTGCAATCACGCCAGAGCTAGAGTTTTTGACCGATCAATTTCTTCTCTTCAGGCTTTAGTTAGGGTACCAGTATGTGCAATTTGTATATCTCGGAATTTTGATATCTGTGACCTAAGGTCAGGTCAATTTCGCGACCTCCCCATTATAAGTCAATGGGGGAAAAATCAACTCCCTGTTTTTACCACTAAAACGGGTCAGAATGGCCCCATATACCATACATGACTTCATATACGATCAACCTTCACTACCTTGAGGTCTGTTTTGCTGTTGGGCAGCTGTGAGGTCATGTGACGTCATCAAAGGTCACCAAAGGGTTTTGGCCAATAACTCCGTACAGGAACAAGATACAGACGCGTGGATGGTCTCATTGTGTTCAGCTCGTCAAGACGCATCGAATGATATACATGATGACCTCGAGGTCACGTGACCTGAGGTCAACCTTTGACCTTGACCTTTCGAGGTCAACATATATATCATTCGATGCGGATTGACGAGAGGATCACGATGATGCCCTTGGTTTGTTCCTATCTTGACTAATTCGAAAGTTATTCGAGAAAAACTCTCCATATCTAGTGCCGCCATTTTGACTTTTTCGACCCCTGTGACGTCATCTTTGACCTGACCTGAAAATGACCTTAGTAAAAATTGTAGACCTTGTCCATGCGTATCCGATGCCGTTTACCGCTTGTCGCTATCTTGCTTCGTTCTCGAGATCTCAGGGGGGGGCCGAATCGGCCCCCCCCCGCCAGTTTCTTGTCCCGGCGGAGCCCGCCAGGAATAGGGTTAAGGATTGGACGCTTACCATAGCTATCTCCTCACTGAAGGAGATCAGACTGTTAGCACCGGCTTGCTGAGAGTGGTCAGGGCCCGGAACCCGTGACAGAGCTTTACCGCCCGTTTTTCGCTCGGTCAGCAGTGTAACGCCTGTTCGCAGGAACAACTGGCGCAGAGCATGTTTGACCACATCCCGGTGGGCGTGGGCAGCAAGGGCATCATCCCGATGAACGCCCAGGACTTGGAAGAAGCGCTGGAGATGGGCATGGACTGGTCCCTACGGCAGGGTCAGTAACGTTATAATATATCACAAGCTGGCTCGAGAATTATCAACTGCAGAGTCTGCTGAGATAATTAGTTTGTCTTTTATGACGTGTTCTGATGTGTTAGCTACGTTTTATGAGAGCCACTAATGATTGGTGATTGCTTTAGATTAGATGTTTTACAGCCTATGTTTCAAGCATATTTTTAGATGATACACCCAATAGGGCTAACATCAGCCCATGAGAAGTAGTTCATTGATCGCTTGCTCCTTTAACCCTCGCCCGCACATCCCATTTTCCCATCCTAGAACGCACATGGGGGGGGGGGGGGGTTGCCAATCCCGCGCCATTTCGTTCCTGTTGAAGATAGAGCTTCGCGGTGAGGACCAAAAAGATTTTTTGGGAAGAGACGAATCCAATGATACCCAGTTTTACCTTCTCAGGTCAGTCATTGACCTTCCAGGTCAGGTCAAACTAAAAAATGTTGCTGTTTTGGGTCACCGTTGGATATCAAGTGCGCTGCTCATCATATACCGATGACGATGCCGTTTTGTGGTGCCAAGCAAGCTGGAACCTCTTTGTCACACTACCCGACCAGGTTTTTGTTGCTGAGGTCATTTCAGGTCAAGTTAGGTCAAGGTCAATTATATGTGTTTGTATTTCTGTGTGTGTCTGTGTGTATACTGGTGTGTGCACCGGTTGTTTATGTGTCCATATTACATGAAATCATGATCTGAGAAGTTTTTACTAAAAATGCAGTCAAAAAACTTCACGAAAAGTAAATTCAGCTTGCCTAAAACGCAATTATTTTAGATGACCTAGGTTGACCTTGACCCTGACCTTGACATCTGTACATCGTCGAACAACATGTTCCATGATAGGTAGGAGGTAAAACTGACAAAAAAAGGCCGAAAGCAAGGTGTCAAAAGCTCACAAGGCCCATAGCCAACGCAAGATGTTGAGAATTGGTCATTTGGGTCATGACATGACCTGAAAAACAAGGTCATGTCTCCGAAACAAAAAACCACAGAAACTTGAAATTTTCAGTGGACATCAAGAAATGATAGAAGAGCAGCTTTGCGAAAAATCAGGCTTCTAGCTCTAAAAATATTGAGTGCAGAGCAGAAAGACTACCTGGGGGGGGGGGGGGGGGGGGCGGGGGGGGAGGCAGTGGCAACCCCCCCCCCCCCCCCCCGATGTGCGGGCGAGGGTTAATGCAGCGACATAGTTCAGGAAAAAATCGGTTTTGTATGTGCTGTTTGCTGTATCTGACTCGGCTGATTGACCTTTGTGCCACATAGGTTACGTATGGGCCGAGGATAAGGAGCATTGTGAGGAGTTTGGGCGGATGCTAAACGCCGACCCGTCCAGAGTCAGCACGCGCGCCAAGAAACGCGGCCTACCTCAGGTTAGTGTGGTGATCTGGGCTGTTTTTTTATATAAAAACAGTCAGTTACCTCGTAGGGGTTACAAAATATTTAAAGAAAGTGATAGATATTTCTAGAAACTACTCTAACATCATTCTGCAGTGTGACGGGGCTGGGGTGTGCTCGGTGTGACGGGGCGACCGTGCCCGCCTAGAGTCATTGTGTTCGCATGATCGTGTCTGTCTTTGCCTGTCTGTCAGTCCATCCTCCGTCTGTCTTTACCATTAGGTGTCGATATAGCGACGAGATCCTCTTACCTCTGCCAATATTACCTCCTCTTTTTACCCCATTTGTCGTCATTGTCAGTCCGCTGGCGGCTGACGGTAACACGACATGACAGTGTCCTATGACGCCGACTCCCCTGCGTCGACACGGCTTCCACCCCACCGACCACTGGTCTCTGACGGTGTTCCCCCTCCCGCCCACAGCTGGGTACCCTGGGCGCGGGTAATCATTACGCCGAGATCCAGGTGGTGGATGAGATCTACGACCCGTGGGCGGCCAGCAAGATGGGCGTCGAGTTCAAGGGTCAGGTGTGCGTGATGATCCACAGCGGCAGCCGCGGCTTCGGCCACCAGGTGGCCACCGGTAAGTGGATGTGGAGCTGTTGTAATGACCAGGATGGTGTTTCAGATTAGTGTGTCCGTGCGATCTGATGTGATATCATAATCATTTATTGACCAGTTTATCTGCAGATGGATGTCACATGCCTTGTACTGATGGTGGCTGTTACGGCAATATCTTTTCACGGGACGTCAGTTTTCGCTCCGGTGGCGGCGGTCTTTCTGTCTCCAGACCGGTACTAGCTTATCTTTACATAAAACAGCTGCAGTTCTGACTACCCCGTATAAACTCTTGCTAGCTGCGCTGTCTGTCAGTAAACCTGTAGGTACAAACTTTCTCGTGTGGGAGCCTCTGTAGCCATTTAACGTCGCTCGTCACCGCAGATGCTCTGGTTCAGATGGAGAAGGCGATGAAGCGGGACAAAATTGATACCAACGACCGCCAGCTGGCCTGCGCGCGCATCAGCTCCAAGGAGGGCCAGGACTACCTCAAGGGCATGTCGTGCGCGGCTAACTTCGCCTGGGTCAACCGCAGCTCCATGACCTTCCTCTGCAGACAGGTGGGCCTCGGGACTCCCGGCACGCGACTCTTTCTCTGGTATTCACTGGACCGAGTCGGGACTCTGAAAACTAGCAACCCCTTTTCTTCTTTAACTTTGCTATATTGTCTTGTTTCCTTTGGTTAGTGCCGTGATGTTTTATGCACGGTGTGTAGTGTCTTACACGAATGTTTACTTGGTGTTTACTCTTGTCGCTTCCACCAGGCGTTCGCGAAACAGTTCAACATGGCTCCCGACGACCTGGACATGCACGTCATATACGACGTCTCACACAATATCGCCAAGGTGGAGGAGCACTTCATCGACGGCAAGCAGAAGACACTGCTCGTCCATAGGAAGGTGAGCTGGAGGCCTTGGCGATGTCGGTGCAGGTCTGGATGACGAGCTTTGTGGTGAATATGCTGTATGAATAAGCGAGTCAGTTGGATGATGATTGTTTTTTTTTTCTGTCTGAGCGTGTGGGTATGTGTGTTTTACTGAAGTAAGTGAACCCTTTCCATTTGTTTACCGTGGTGACTGATCTCATGCCACTCTCCCGTCCCGACTCTAACCGCCCCCGTTCTGTCGCAGGGCTCGACGCGGGCGTTCCCGCCTCACCACCCGCTGATCCCGGTCGACTACCAGCTGACTGGCCAACCGGTGCTGATCGGAGGAACCATGGGCACCTGCAGTTACGTGCTGACGGGCACCGAGCGGGGCATGCTGGAGACTTTCGGGTCAACCTGCCACGGCGCGGTGAGTACCGACCAACTGTGTAATATCTTTTACAGGTGCTGTCCCAGGGAATACCCAACTGTCAGATAGGAACGGCTCGCCAGGGCGGAGTGTCACAGTGACCGGTGCCTGTGTAGTCTCAACTGCCTGTCTTGGGTGGTCGAGCGACGGGGAGCGCTGCCGTTATTTCGTTCAGAAAACATTTTGAACGTCTTGTTCCAAATTATTGGCTTATTTGAATCATGGAACGTTGCGAAGGTACATAAGGTGAAACAGATTAGGTTATTTTAGGTGATATATCCCTCGCCCGCACATGGGGGGGGGGTTGCCACCCCCCCCCCCCCCAGGTAGTCTTTCTGCTCTGCACTCAACATTTTTATAGCTAGAAAGCTGATTTTTCGTATAGCTGCTTGTCTATCCTTTCTTGATGTTCGCTGAAAATTTCAAGTTTCTGTGATTTTTGGTTTCGGAGATATGACCTTGTTTTTCAGGTCATGTCATGACCCAAATGGCCAATTCTCAACATCTTGCGTTTGCCATGGGCCTTGTGAGCTTTTGACACCCTGATTTCGGCCTTTTTTGCCAGTCTTACCTCCCACCTATCATGGAACATGTTGTTCGACGATGTACAGGGGTCAAGGTCAGGGTCAAGGTCAACCTAGGTCATCTAAGATAATTGCGTTTTAGGCAAGCTGAATTTACTTTTTGTGAAGTTTTTTGATTGCATTTTTGGTAAAAGCTTCTCAGATCATGATTTCATGTAATATGGACCCAAAAACAATCGGTGCACACATCAGTATACACACAGACACACACAGACATACAAACACATATAATTGACCTTGACCTAACTTGACCTGAAATGACCTCAGCAGCAAAATTCTGGTCGGGTAGTGTGACAAAGAGGTTCTAGCTGGCTTGGCACCAGAAAACAGCATCGTCATCGGTATTTGATAAGCAGCGCACTTGATATCCAGCGGTGACCCAAAACAGCAACATTTTTTAGTTTGACCTGACCTGGAAGGTCAATGACTGACCTGAGAAGGTAAAACTGGGTATCATTGGATTCGTCTCTTCCCAAAGAATCTTTTTGGTCTTTACCGCTAAGCTCTATCTCCAACAGGAACGAAATGGCGCGGGGGGGGGGGTGGCAACCCCCCCCCCCATGTGCGTTCTAGGATGGGAAAATGGCATGTGCGGGCGAGGGATATTTTAGATATTTATTTTAGGTGCATAGGTATTACGGATTTCGTTTTGCAACGCTGTTTTGCTCCTCAGAGGTGTTTGGGCTGGGGCGTCCAGATTCAGTACTAACAGCTGCTTTTTCTCCCGCCAGGGGCGAGCCATGTCCCGGGCCAAGTCGCGGCGCAACCTAGACTACCAGCAGGTACTGTCCAAAATGAACGACCTGGGCATCTCAGTACGAGTAGCCTCGCCCAAACTCGTCATGGAGGAGGCGCCCGAGTCCTACAAGAACGTCACAGACGTGGTAGACACTTGCCACGCGGCCGGCATTAGTAAAAAGTGCATCAAGCTGAAGCCGATCGCCGTCATTAAGGGCTGATGGCGCAGAGGGCGCTGTGAGCGTTGTTCGGAGCTGTTCCACCGGCGGGACGTCTGTCGATGGGCGCCACGGTGGGATGCTGCCCAAGTTCTGTGATCGAGACTGGATGCTGGTGCGGGCTCCAACTGTCCCAGGATCTGCAGTGTGGTATTGTGGCTAGCAGGCTGCAGTGTGTGTGCTTTGTGTGTTCTCAGCCTTCCATGAGGTTAAAGTCGTCACCATTGGCAACGATGGCCCATTGTGTGGTGTAACCATGGCTCTAGGACACACCGATCTTGAATATACCGATGCAACGTACTGTGAAGGTGATAATAATGCGCTAATTGTTGTGTTGTTGTGCTCTTTGGTTCCCGGCATATGCAAACGCTCCTCTATAATATAGCTCAGAGCGGTCTGTCCTTGTTTTAATTCTGGTTGCTAGGTGGTTGTCATACATGTATTGGCTCTTTTCACTAAGCTTTTATTAGTGGAAAAGAACCAACGGTAGATCTTTTTTTGTACAAACCATATTTTCCAAAGTCAGATCAATGTTTGACGAGTCACCCTCCGTACATAAATGGATGCATTGAAAGCTGCATCGTGCTTGGCGCTTTTCTGATACGCCGGGTGCAAATGTCAAACAATGCAGTGCCAGCGTGCCTTGGCGAACTGTTCTACGAATATGGGCGACAATGCGAGCTTAGAAGTCCCATGGAGACGCCCTCCAGGCCTTGGTGACTGCCGCCGCTTAGAGCTCCTGATGATGCCACGTGTTGCAAGCAGTAACAATGAATTATTGCACCACGTATTGGATATTGGTTTATCTATTTTTTTTTGTGTGTGAGCCCCTATCCCAGCATTGTCCTGTCGTTCCTCTCAACAGTGCTCTCGACTCTCCGGTGTTTTTGTCTGCCTACTTTCTTTACGAAGGCTGATTATGCCGCCGGATATCTTTTTCGTCCCACTTAGAACGGTTTCGTTTTTGTATCGGTCGATTCATCTCGTTTAATAGCGCGCGTGTGACAGGTCCGTCCCTATCCATGACCCATTTATTTGTAAGCTTATAGCTGTGGTAGCTCGTTTTTATTACAGTCAGGAAAAATCTACCGAAGAGCATTTTGCTTGTTCATGGGTTGACCTAGGTTGACCTAGGTTGACCTAGGCAACTCCGTTGGAATCTTTAACTTCATCTAAATGATGAAACTAGCTTGGCTATCGGGCTACATTTAGTTATTGCTCCAGCTCACGTTCATGGAACATCTATCGGCTATGTCGTTGTCCAGCTGACAGTGAAGTGCGGCTACTTAGGGCTCCAGCTGCCTGGGAGACTGTCTGACGCTACTGTTCGATGTGCCGCCGTGAAGCGCGCGCGCCGCCGCCAGTGACCGCGTTTCCCAGTTCCGCGTTCCAGTCGCGTGGTTTGTTGACCTTCAGACCGATAGTGGGTCAGCGGGCCGCCCCGTCCCGAACCCAAATGGTGGACACCGGACCATGGTCTCTCACCAATGGCTTCTCACCAGAAGTCTCTCACCAATGGCCGCACCGGAGTCCGGAAATGTCAGGAACGGGAGTGGCTGCTTGGGAGGGGCCGTACGAGCCATGAGGCGTCTCGCATAGCACGTCTGAATACGCGTAACCAACACAACGCACAAGACTGATGACATCGAATTTCGAAATTCGAACTTCTGCTGACATGTCGTCCGTAGTCACTCCTTGGACCTTGCACTATGTAGTAGTTACAACGTTTGACACGATATATGGCCAAGTGATTGCTAGATGAGCGATGATCTTTTTAGATAACGCGGGCATTGATGACTTCGGTTCCGAGGAGTCTATTTCAGTTCTGATCGTAGCGGTCCTGCGAATGGCTTTCGCTTTGATCGGTTCGAGACCTTTTTAGGGCTCTCTCTGTACACCACACCGTACCGAGTGACCTATGAGAGCGGAACAGATAGATTAAGGTCAAAAGGGCTAGGTCCAGAAGAATGCTCGGCCTGAAGCTATCTGTCCGGTAGGCAATAAGTTTCCGCCGAGAGGCGTCCCCGTTCATTTGAGATCAATTCGAGGTGTGTCGTCTGGCATTAGATTTCCGATACCTACCTACCGTTTCGTCCGACGTAACTGGAAGGGTCATTTTTGTGCAACTCACCGTTTACCTACGTCATGGAACAAACGACCCATCCAAAGACTACCTCGCCAATTGTGCTGGTGCATTCTTGGGACAAAGTTTTGAAGAGACTTAGAAAATGGCTCATAGAGAAACAACTGATAACATATGTTTCTGGGCAACTGGCAAGTGATAGGCCCTTTCTAACTATTGACCTTAGGGTCGAATGTTATCGCTCCTACTCCTAGTTCGTTAGGTAGTACCTACCGTCCTCTCGTGTCTCGGGTCCCAACGTAGGTATTATGTGTTGCGAAAATTCATTCCAACGTCGACTCGGGCTGCTCCAAGTTAAAATTTATTTTAGACCGTTATGCGTGCCCGTCTTTTGCACGTGCACGTGTTTTGCCAGCTTCACTAAATCAGCTCCGAACACAGGGGGCAATATTCTGTTGACCATTATCGCGCCGTTGCGCTGCAGCGCACCTCGGCGATGGCTGCCGGCGGCGGCTCGAACGCCGGGCTGCGCGCGTGGCTGGGCCGGCGCGGCCGCGGGAGCCAGCCGCGCTCTGACCCACTTGGGTCGCGCGCGCGGGGCGGCCGGACGCTGCCATTGGTATGCAGGGTTGCGGCAGATAGCGTCTGTGGCTGTGCACACATGCCGCCGTACCGGGCGGCCGGCCGTCCTCCAGCGGACATTGACACCCGCCGCCGGCATAGGTGACGACAGCAGAGAGGCCCGCCGAGGCGCCGAGAGAGGCGGATGGGGCAGAGGGTGGTCCGACCCTGCGTCCCGCTGTAGGATATCGGAGCTGTGGTGAAACACGCCTTAGCACCGTTCAACAACAGCACACGTTTAGTGGATGAGTTCAATGGAATGTAATGGTTAACGGTACATTAGAGAACGGTGAACGTTCTTACTAAAAGGTATAGCATTGCAATTTATCAGTAAATGGTATAATTTTGAATAATGGAATTTTGAACAAATAAGTGGATCATATTTTGCTAAAATAACACTCTTCGTTCAGACTTAGAGATAAACGAGAGACAAATATTAAATTATTTAAATAATTAAATTAAATTATTATTATTGAAAAGAAGCCAAACGAAAGGTGTGGCGCCAGCTATAGCGAGCAGACTTTCCCGCCGACAGAAAGCGGGAAAGACCCGTCCGTGCGTTGAGTCGAGCACTCATGTGCCGGACTCGTGACAGTGGCCCTCGGCCCAACAAAACAGGTTCTTGAAACATTGTCATCGGCGACATCAAAACAGTCCTCACCTTGATGTTCTCCCTTCCTTATCCTCTCCCTCTCTCCATTCCTATCGGTTTTCTGGATCACTTTCTTTATCTATCATTCTCTTTCTTCCTTTTTCTCTCTTTTTTCTCCCTCTCTCCCCCTTTCTCGCTCTGTCTCTCTCCTCTCCCTCCTTCTCACTTCATGTTTCATTTCAACGGCCTTTACTGTCTTTACAATCGACACCATGTAGTCGGTAGGTGATAGGTGTCTGTTATGTGATTAATCATGTGCAATTCCAGGTATGTACCTATTTTTTGCTCTACTTGTGAGGTCACGCTTTCTTGTTACGTCGCTGACAGCTCAACAAGCCCTTGATAAAGTTTCTCCAAATAAGTGGCATCGCCTATGAAGACACGTTTCCCAGCGCCATAGCTCGCTAATATGCTCGCTTGCACTGCTTCGCTGCCTTCATACCGCTCGTTTAGACGTTCCCATGTGTTCAACATAACACGTGTGGCTCACTATTGACATTTAGGAAACTGCCGCTTTTTGGGACGCGGCGGTAGGCAATATCTCACAGGTGGTGGGCCGCCGGCCAACTTTTCCCGCTGCAGGCGGCATACGGTGCATAGTACGGTGTGCTTGCATACCATCGTCGCGCGGGGCGGTAGGAACACATTACACCTGCGCTGAGAGGCGACCAGGGAAGGGACAGAGAGAGTGCCGGAGAGGAGGGGAGAGCGGCGGAGGGCCGGAGCGAGCAGAGAAAGCGGGCACAGTGACCCTGTCTGGGCGGCTTAGTAGGACACTGGCCGCCGGCGCCGGCTCCGATCGCGTCGAGTCGTGTGTACTCACAGTCACACCGGACCTGCCGTCACCGTGACGGGCTCAGTGGCGACGGGAGCGCTACAGACCGGAATCGGCTGCTACCGACGGATATTGTTAGCAGAGATTTGAAGAGGAAATTCCAGCCGGATACGCGAGACAACATGCACGAAATAACTTTATAGTTGCCTTTAGGATATGCATCTACTGAAACTTTACCATCAAAATGGGTTAGAATGTAAGTGAACAGCTTTAGCTGGATATAAAAAGTGCTAAAAACCATATTCTTTTGGAGTCTATTTTGAGGTATAAACAAGGAAAGACCGCTTGAATGTAAGCGCATTTAGGCAATTTATTTCACAAATCAAACGATATGTTTTTTTTTTAAATAATTGATTGCCGTTATATCCCATGGGGCTCGTGAATTATGGTGTTCTTTATAATGCAATGTAATGCGCACCACAAACCCAGCCAAGTCTGCATGTTGCCGTATACAAAATAAAACGGCTTCGGGTCCGCTTCGGTTGAGAATCCCGGCACCGGTTCCGAGAGAGAGAGAGAGAGAGAGAGAGAGAGAGAGAGAGAGAGAGAGAGAGAGAGAGAGAGAGAGAGAGAGGGAGAGAGGGCGAGAGAGAGAGAGAGAGAGAGAGGAGAGAGAGAGAGGGAGAGAGAGAGAGAGCGAGAGAGCGAGAGAAGAGAGTGTGAGAGAGAGAGAGAGAGAGAGAGAGAGAGAGAGAGAGAGAGAGAGAGAGAGAGAGAGAGAGAGAGAGAGAGAGAGAGAGAGAGAGAGAGAGAGAGAGACAGACAGACAGACAGAGAGACAGAGAGAGAGAGAGACAGAGACAGAGACAGAGACAGAGACAGAGACAGAGACAGAGACAGAGACAGAGACAGAGACAGAGACAGAGAACAGAGAACAGAGAACAGAAACAGAGAAAGAGACAGAGATAGCGACAGAGACAGACAGATCGATAAAGGATATGAAGTGAGAAGGTGTGAGACGAGTCGAGTGCGCCCTGTCAGCGCAGCGATTTCGTGCGCCGGCCGCCGGTGACCCCTGCTGAATGTCGTACTCGCACGCCGGCCGCCGGTGACCCCTGCTGAATGTCGTGCGCCGGCCGCCGGTGACCCCTGCTGAATGTCGTACTCGCACGCCGGCCGCCGCCGGTGACCCCTGCTGAATGTCGTGCGCCGTGCGCCGGTGACCCCTGCTGAATGTCGTACTCGCACGCCGCCGTCGGTGACCCCTGCTGAATGTCGTGCGCCGTGCGCCGGTGACCCCTGCTGAATGTCGTACTCGTGTGCCGGCCGCCGGTGACCCCTGCTGAATGTCGTACTCGCACGCCGTGCGCCGGTGACCCCTGCTGAATGTCGTACTCGCACGCCGGCCGCCGGTGACCCCTGCTGAATGTCGTACTCGCACGCCGGCCGCCGGTGACCCCTGCTGAATGTCGTGCGCCGGCCGCCGGTGACCCCTGCTGAATGTCGTACTCGCACGCCGCCGTCGGTGACCCCTGCTGAATGTCGTGCGCCGGCCGCCGGTGACCCCTGCTGAATGTCGTGCGCCGTGCGCCGGTGACCCCTGCTGAATGTCGCACGCCGGCCGCCGGTGACCCCTGCTGAATGCCGTACTCGCACGCCGGTGACCCCTGCCGAATGTCGTACTCGCGTGCCGGCCGCCGGTGACCCCTGCTGAATGTCGTACTCGTGCGCCGGCCGCCGGTGACCCCTGCTGAATGTCGTACTCGCACGCCGGCCGCCGGTGACCCCCGCTGAATGTCGTGCGCCGTGCGCCGGTGACCCCTGCTGAATGTCGTACTCGCACGCCGGCCGCCGGCGACCCCTGCTGAATGCCGTACTCGCACGCCGGCCGCCGGCGACCCCTGCTGAATGCCGTACTCGCACGCCGGCCGCCGGTGACCCCCGCTGAATGTCGTGCGCCGTGCGCCGGTGACCCCTGCTGAATGTCGTACTCGCACGCCGGCCGCCGGCGACCCCTGCTGAATGCCGTACTCGCACGCCGGCCGCCGGTGACCCCTGCTGAATGTCGTACTCGTGCGCCGGCCGCCGGTGACCCCTGCTGAATGTCGTGCTCGCACGCCGGCCGCCGGTGACCCCTGCTGAATGTCGTACTCGCACGCCGTGCGCCGGTGACCCCTGCTGAATGTCGTGCGCCGTGCGCCGGTGACCCCTGCTGAATGTCGTGCGCCGTGCGCCGGTGACCCCTGCTGAATGTCGTACTCGCACGCCGGCCGCCGTCGTGACCCCTGCCGAGCCGGGCCGGCGCGCGCGGCGCAGTCGGTCGTCGTGGGAGAGGCCACCGTTCCAGGCGGGCCGACCGGCTGGCTGGGAAGGTAGCGGTGAACAGAACGGTACGACTGAACGGGGCCGAGCCGGGAGGCTGGGTAGGACTCGCCGTCTGCCGGTCAGCGGCCACTGCGCATGGTGGGGCCACGCGCATACAGGCCTCGCTTTGGTCACTGGTCAGACTAGTCCTACCACGGCTGGGGTATCATATGGCAATTTTTCTTCGGCTGGTGAGCAAAAACCCTTATAGGTATTATAGCGAGTCAGCGACACGTGAAACGACTCGCAGAAAGTTTGTTATGGAGTTTTTGTTATTAGAAAGTACCGCGAAGTTTTGTTTCCTTGGCATCCCTTTCGGCAAAAATTTCAGAACATCTGATTAATGATTATATCCTACTGAGTGGTCGCCGATTAGAATCCAAGCATCACATTTTTAGCTTAGTGTATGCTACAGGAAATACAATACAAGAAACTACAAAAGCACAAGAACAATCTCGACCACTTCTCCGTTGAGGTTCCGTTCCGCAAGGTTCCCCTCCCTCCCCGTCACGGCCGGCGCCCTCCTGACCACGGTCACTGCAGATCGTATCGCTCCCTTCCGCAATCCGTGGCAGATCTGCGACAAAAAGCCGCCGAGCTACCGGTCCGGCCGGTCGCACCGGGCTTCCCTGGCGACCTTGCCGTCTATGTTGTGCCACTGTCCGGTATGCCATTCACTCGAGTAGTTACCGAGCGTTGCCGGCAGCTCGGCTAAGAACGAAAGTCACCGTGCAGGCGGACTGGACCGGGCGCTAGCAATAGTGACTCAGCACGGAGGGAGCGGAGTGGAACGGGAAGGAAGGGGGAGCGCACTGTCAGTTCGTGGGGATCAGTCTCGGCTCCCATATTTCGTCCCGGTCCCGGTCTGCTTGTGCACATTTAATCATCATTGCAGTCCCCATGGTCAACTGGACAGCGAGACGCTGCAACTTTTAGTGCCCAAGAGTACAGAAATTAAAGCACTCTGTTTGGGAACGATAAAAACGATTCGCGTTCATTAGCTCTTTCTCTGACATACGTGAATGTGATAATACATCAACGGATACACGTATAAAGGTCAAGGGAGGCAGGATTGGTGAGATGACTGTTCGGTAATGTTCATGCCGGTAAAAAAACCTTTGTGCCCTGTGCAGGGCAAATGCACAATAATGCTCGACGCCGGGTCTCAAGTGAATTTCACTTGATTATTCTTATAGACGGTTACTGGTCAATGAAAACAAACTCATTTTCCATCATCCGTCGTCCTGAGGTACCGAATCTCTGCAGTTTTCTCATTTGACGGTCACAGATGATTGGCTGCATGCTGTCTCCGGCAGCAGCTGCACGCCTGCCTGCTCCGGGGCCGTCGCCCTCAGCCAGTGGCCCGTCACCCTCAGCCAGTGGCCCACCTAGGAGAGATGGCGCGGTGCTGACCGGCCGGCGCGGAGCCTCGATATGGGTCAGACGCGTCAGCCTGCCGCCGGCCGCCGGCGGCGACCGCTCCTCCCAGAGGAGAGGTGTGCCACCGACCGCGGCGAACTCGGCTACCTGCCAACCTCGATCAGAGAGGAATAATGGCTATATTAGAGCTGATCACAGGAGAAAATATCACCTCGGCGATTCAAACACCTGTTCGGAGAGGTGAATGAAGACTGCGTTTACCAATTTCGATTGAGATTGATGTGAACTCAGTTTTTATTTGAGACTGACATTAGGCGATATGACTCCAAGATAGATGCAAATATACCTAAGTGAATACTAAATAAGTCCAATTTATTGACACCTATGTGGAACGAAACCTCAAGTTGATCGATTCTAGCCCATGAACCGAAGTTCTATAAATATACGGACGACACAGCAACGATGAATCCCCAACATAAATGAGTTCTTGAGGTTTAAGCGATTAACTTTATTTTGACAACATAACCTTAAGTGTCCTCAAAATTAATTTGATATTTAAACAGCTCATGTCTACATATAGGTATACGTAAATAAATCATCGAAGAAAAAATCAATTTATGCATTTGTTTCATGGAGTTCAGTCGAGTGGCTGACAGAGTAGTTCAAAATTAGAATTTTCTTTGGGAGCTTTATTCGTTATATTCTTACTTAAATTACCTATTTTGTTTTCTAAGAGGACATTTTGATTTTCTAGCTCTATAAAATAGCAGCACCGTAAAAAAAAATCATTTATTTCAGGCATATAAAACAACAACCAATGCAAGGTCAGCGCCTGTCAATATCTGATACCATGACCGGGTCGCACCCCATCAGCGGGTGATCCCGTTTCGTTCGGTGGCCGGCCGTTTGGCCCTGCCACTTTCGCCGGCAGCGTGACACGTGAGAGTGGCTCGGCGCCGGCCGATAGGCGGCTCACGGCCCACATCGGCTCCGACTCCGAGTCGGCAGCTCTGTGTCACGGCTGGGCCCGGGGCGCCGACCGGCGCGCTCGGCCACAATGGAGCGCCGATGTGGGTCGCCGGCTGGGAAACTACGGCCCACCGCGCCGGCCCGCGCGCGCCAGCGACGGCGCAGCTGCGTGACGGTTGACCGCGGCCGCCGTCACTGCCGGCGCGGCCGCAGACTGGCGGGCTGACCGCGACTACTCGACCAGATCCTTGGAACTAGTTCAGCTCATTTCGTGAAATGACAAAACTACCATCGAAAACGGTGCTAAGAAGCAGCACTACAGGCTTCCTGATCGAGCCATTGATATGAGCATTCTTCCGTAGGTTATTGTCCTTTTTATTTGCCTCGAAATTCTTAAAGAATGGGATGACATTCGAGCATCAGCTTTTCCATTCGGCCGGGCAATGCCGGGCAGTGGAGAGACTTAAAAAGCGGAAATTCAGCGTCTCCCACTATTGTGCTCCGTTCGTCGATCCCTGGTCGCAGATGCTCCCTCAAACCACTGGCCATCCCCGTCAAGAGCCTCTTGTATCGACCGCCGAAACCAACAATGAACGATGAACGATTTTCCCAGCCGAGGCATGCACGTTCGTGGTGCGCCACATGCCTACTGAAGGGGCACACATGACTCGCCGGAGCCGCAGAGAAAGTAAAGGATCTGTGTATTCCAGGTCTTTCCGGCACTTCAGAGACGGCGCCATTCAATGTCATGCCAGGTGACGTTGAGGTGAAGAGGAAAGCGTCGGCTCGAATTGCCGAGAGAGTCAGAAGGCGTGACGGTGGTGCACGAGCTGGGGTAGCTCTGCGGGTACTTGGCATTGAGAGCTATAGGTGAAAACATGTGCGGGCTAGATCATATGTGACAGCCGGAGTAAGTCAAATGTGACGGCTGAGCTGGGGGCAACTATGCCGGCTAAGGCAGAACAATGATGTCTCCCGAGGTGGAATGAAAAGGCAAAGACCGGCGAAATGTGTAGACCGATTCGTTCGACTGTAACCTGGTGCAGGAAATAAGTCCAAAACTGATGGGTGTTAATGTTATTCGTAGAAAGGCAAAGAAGGCGCTCTTATTTTAGCCAAGTCATCTCGGCAAACATTCTGATTCTATCCGACGTTGCCGACACAAGAAGCACACGCGCTGCTTCGCTGGCGGAGCGAGGTCACCCGCTCTGGCTGAGATGATGCGAGAGCGTGGTAGCCGCGTGCCCTCTGGTGCCGGGCCGGCGGCCGGCGTCAGCACGCAAACGATGTGCAAAAACGCAGATGGCGGCGGCCGGCGGCCGGCGGCCAGCCTGCATTGGCCTGGCCGCACCGGCAAACTCCGCCCCTTGCACGTCGCGGCGCCGGACTTAGCCCCACGTGACCGCTGACCGCGGCTGCCCCCACACTCGGCCTCCGGTCCCACTATAAAGCAGCCCGGTTGCAAAGGGCGCCCATTTGAGGGTGCATCGCGCCGGCCGGCAGGGTGTGTGCTGTTTGCAGGTGAGTTGATCGGGCTGCTGATCGCGGCGGCCGGTGACCGTGGTGTTGTGGACGACAGACGGTGGACGGCAGACGGCAGACGGAGCTGCAGAGACGGTCCCGGGACGTGTTCCAGCTCGGCGGGATGTCGGCCGTGGCCGGGGGCGGTACGCCGCGTGCTGGACCGCCGAGAGACGAGCTGAGTCATCTCTGAGCACCACCGTGACGAGCGGCCCGCCGGGGCTACATCACTCACCGGGCCTCTCACAGTTTCCCGTACTAGCAGGCGGCTCACAACTCACTGCTCGTCCAGCCAGCTGCCGGCAATGTCCCGTTTCGCCCCACAGCAAAAATATGTTTGCACTATGTCACCGGTTCATCGAAAAAAAATGTTCGACCTTTTTTCATCAATTCACAATCGATAAAACCGAGAAATGGCTTCTATTGAAACTAACATTAAACTAAAATCGATCGTTTTTCGGTCCACGCATTGTATCGACGATTTAACTTATAGTCTTTGTTTCCGACAAAGTAAAACTCAAATTGTAAATGAATATTTGGCTGCTGCCTGGGGGGAAAATAAGAAAAATGAAAATTGGCACAGATGACAGCATTGACCTAGCCAGCCGAGGAATAGGTATGGCTTACACTTACAGACATAGTTCATTGAGCAGTGACAATATGTGTTTGCCCCCTGACGCAGGATTCCAAGATGAGACGCACACTGCTCTGTATCTGCGTGGTGGGCCTTCTGGCCCCGGCGCTGGCCGACACGGAGGCCGCCAAGGCAGCGGCGCCGCAGCCGCTGGCACAGGCTCTGGCCCAGGCTCGGGACGGCTCCTCACACGGTAGCCACGGGTCTGCGCACAGCGTGGGCGGCTCCTACAGCACCTCCGGCGGCGGATCCTACAGCGCTCCCGCCCAGCCGTCCGGCGGCTACGACGCCCCGGCCTCCAGCCACGTCAGCTCTGGATATTCAGCTCCGCAGCAGCCCAGCTCCGGCTATGACGCGCCTTCTTCGGGTGGGCACAGCTCTGGAGGATACAGCCAGCCGAGCTCTGGTTATGATGCGCCTGTCTCTGGTGGATACAGTTCTGGCGGCCATAGCTCTGGAGGCCACAGCTCTGGAGGCCACAGCTCTGGCGGTTACAGCAAGCCCAGCTCAGGTTATGATGCGCCCGCCTCTGGAGGTCACAGCTCTGGTGGATACAGTTCTGGCGGCCACAGCTCTGGAGGCCACAGCTCTGGCGGTTACAGCAAGCCCAGCTCTGGGTACGACGCGCCGAGCACGGGCGGCTACGGCGGCGGCTCGACCGGCAACCTGTACTACTACTACTACCCGGTGCAGGAGAAGCCGCAGGTGCACCGGTACCCGGTGAAGCAGTCGGGCGGCGGCGGTGGGCTGCTGGGCCTGCTGGGCGCCGTGCTGGTGCCGCTGCTGGTGCTGGGCGGCGCGCTGCTGCTAGCGCTCGTCATCGGCTCGCTGGTGGTGGCCGGCACCGGCCGCTCGGCCGACCCGATGGCCGCCTGGAAGGCCGACCTGGAGCGCCTGGTGGACGACTACCTGACCATGCTGGAGGACGAGCGCTGCGTGCAGCGCATCTTCTGCGAGGTCGGCCTGCGCGCGGAGCCGTACCGCTTCCCCGGCAAACAGCTGGTGGCCAGGTGAGTCGGCGGCGGCGGCGACCGGGGAAACCTGACCAGGGTAGGGTAACAACTGACAAAGAAAGCCAGGGTGACCATTAGAGGAGCCAGAGCGACCACGGAACATCGCTGGAGACGGGTAGATGGGCAAAAAAGTTGATGTGGAGAAAGTATTGGACAGATCCACTAAGCGTCCGGGGTGAAGCGGATACCTGCATCTCAGTGGATAACACGAACAGACACCATTTTCAGTTCACCCTACTTTGGATGCCTCACCGGTCATGCATTTATTGCGCGACCGTTCGATTCAGAATACCTAGTACGTCTGCTTGACCCCATGCAAAACAGGCTCATCAATTGGCGGCATTACCCTATCTGAATTGTAACTAGCCGCGTCCTGCGCTCGGGCGGCGCCGGCCGGCCCGTTCGGTCACCGGACGTCGTGACCCCGTTCAATCCCAATGAGATGCAGGCTCGCCGGGCGCTGCTCGACCGGCGCAGGCCAGTGCGCATGCGCGCCAGCCGATGCGGGTCACGGTGACCGCAAGCCGGCGAGCAGATGGTGTCGACTTGGGCTAACGGGAATGGAAATGAAACGGCACGCGTCGCACCTGTACAGACAGATGGCCGGGCACGGGACCGGAGTGAAATCAGTGCGCACTTAAAAACACACATTTTGGCTTTTATTGTCACCGCTAGTCACTAGTGAGGATGATGTGGAATGTGAATGGGTTTACTCGATGATCTCTCCGGTACCTACGCTATGGGAAGAATCGGTTTCGACAGGCATCCGCTGAAAGGAAATGAATTCAGTGGCTAACTGACTACACCAATTCGTTTCAATCCATAATTTAAATAGCTGCGATAAATAGATACCTACGCCTTTGGCCCCATCTCAATCATATGAACTGAGCTGCTCGTCTAATTAATGTTATGTTCCATAACGTATTAAAAGTCAGCGAGGAGCCATTAACTGCTAATGGTACAAAGTCGACTGCCTAGGGTAGCTGAGCCAATGCAGCATTGTCAACGTTTTGATAACCTTCTTCTCTTTTACCCACAGTTTGGTGGAGCAGTTTGCGCCAGAGATGGTTCAAGAGAATGCCTCCATCTTATCCAAGGCCTCAACTGGCATCTACGACAAGCAGCAGTGCAAGAAAATGTTCGCATGCAAGTCCCGGCTCGGCGATCAGGACTACTAAAAAGTCAGCTTAGCTAGAGATTTATGTTCTTGTGCATCATCGAAGGCTTTTGTTAATTCCCTTACGCAGCTCTTGTCATGTCACTGCTGCGCATCCAAAGCTGCCAACTTTTATCTTTTTCATGAAACCACTTCAGTTATAGATCAGCTAGTGTATTTAGGGAGAGGTGAAGCTCCCACAGCTCAAGCCTTGTAAATGTTGTGATTCGCTCCGGTGAGCGTTCCTTGAAGCATCGCTCGTTGATGTCCGACGCGAAGGCGTTGTTCGGTGACCATTAAAGAGGCACCCGTTGTTGATGTTGTTGTTGTTGTTGTGGCTGTTGTTGCAGTTGTGTCATCGTCGCTAGTCGGAACCACGTCCCCGTGTTGCTGTTGTTGTTGTTGTTGTCATGTAATTGTTGCATGTGCGTCTGGTCAGCCCTGCCATGTTGTTCCGTCGCCACTTCGTTCTATCCTCCAGTCCCGTCTAGCGGTGCTTTCATGCTGCGTTATGTGTCGTTACGTCTTGTGTGCCCGTACAATATGCCTGGTATTTCTCTATTTATTTGCTTCTTCATTAGCGCAGATAGGAAGTCTTTGAATGGCCAGTCACCTGTTTGGTCGGGAGCATCAGTTGCTGCTTGATATTCGTCATCATGCAATGTTCTTCATTCTATTTATTTGTGTTATTTGTTATTTATTACATTGCCCACGCCAACACCAGAGGAATAAAACAATGAACAGCTTTCCTTAGCTACTTGTTTTCAGTTGTATGTCGTTTTTATGATCTAAGAAGAAGATGCGATACCTAATTACGATATAATTATATAGCTTATGGTCCATAAATTGTTTGTTGGGTTCTTAACCCTATTCCTGGCGGGCTCCGCCGGGACAAGAAACTGGCGGGGGGGGGGGGGGGGGGCGATTCGGCCCCCCCTGAGATCTCGAGAACGAAGCAAGATAGCGACAAGCGGTAAACGGCATCGGATACGCATGGACAAGGTCTACAATTTTTACTAAGGTCATTTTCAGGTCAGGTCAAAGATGACGTCACAGGTGTCGAAAAAGTCAAAATGGCGGCGCTAGATATGGAGAGAGTTTTCCTCGAATAACTTTCGACTTAGTCAAGATAGGAACAAACTAAGGGCATCATCGTGATCCTCTCGTCAATCCGCATCGAATGATATATATGTTGACCTCGAAAGGTCAAGGTCAAAGGTTGACCTCAGGTCACGTGACCTCGAGGTCATCATGCATATCATTCGATGCGTCTTGACGAGCTGAACACAATGAGACCATCCACGCGTCTGTATCTTGTTCCTGTACGGAGTTATTGGCCAAAAACCTTTGGTGACCTTTGATGACGTCACATGACCTCACAGCTGCCCAACAGCAAAACAGACCTCAAGGTAGTGAAGGTTGATCGTATATGAAGTCATGTATGGTATATGGGGCCATTCCGACCCGTTTTAGTGGTAAAAACAGGGAGTTGATTTTTCCCCCATTGACTTATAATGGGGAGGTCGCGAAACTGACCTGACCTTAGGTCACCGATATCAAAATTCCGAGATATACAAATTGCACATACTGGTACCCTAACTAAAGCCTGAAGAGAATAAATTGATCGGTCAAAAACTCTAGCTCTGGCGTGATTGCAAACTTTTCTGAGGTAGGGTCACCAAACCGCCTCTGGTGACCTGACCTGAGGTCAGATCAACTCAAAATTTTCAGACATGTTGCGTAGAAGCCTTTTAGGAAAAGTCAGAAAATTTGAGCTTCCTAGCTCAACGCGTTTGGGAGAAATAACCAAAAAACCTCAGGGGGGGGGCTCCTGAGGCCCCCCCCCCCGCCAGGAATAGGGTTAAGATGCGAGTCGTGCTTTTTTACGTCGATTGCGCAGACAAATCTGGAGTTTTATTGGACAATATTGCCTTCTCATTCACGAATGACTCCTCTAGACGCTCGATCGACAAGGGAAAACACCAATCCACCAATCGATCCAAAATGTTTACCAAATCATTTTATGGCCTAAAGCGACGCGAAGCGAGCCAGGACTTCGTTATCTGGAGAAGAACAAAGCAAGCAATAAGCGGTCGCCGTCGAGTACATTGATATGCCATTTTAATTAAAATAACCTCAAATGGCCTTGGCGATTGATATACACTGAAGTTAGGATATGGCCAGGTGTGGCACCAGCCCCGTCGGCTGGGAAGGGTTGATAAAATTCGCAAAGAAGACGCACTGATGCATCCTGTCTTTTAGACAAACTGAAAGTTATTTCAACGTGACAGTTCCAAGCATCTTTGTGTCCATTGAGTTGTCAATCATAACAGAAGTCATATAAAAAGATATATTGAATGTGACAACGACCATCTGGTGTCCAGTGTTCACCGCTTGTCAATCGATGGAGCTTTGATGCAAAACTTAACGTGCAACAAGCCCCGTTACGGATGTAACGGGCTACGTTGCACTTATGCTTATCTTTTAACTTTATTTTTTAGTACATTTCAAAGCGCTGCAGAATCTAGTATGAAACCAGGTAACTTAGACTCGGTCAGTGTCATGGGTACTCTCAGTACTCACTAACTCAGGGTATGTTACTCAGGATAGCCAATTGAAGTGAGGTTCCCAACAAAGGTAAAATTACCACAGCTTTTTATTATCCCTGAGATAACAGAACCATTAGACATCTGCTATAGTCCAGCTAACTCCGTGCATGCCTAATGACAATTTCCTCTACCATCACACGCCTGACTTCAGTCACAGCAATGTAGCGATTGTCACGAACAAACCGTTTTTTGTTATCAACCGGATAAACAGATCTCTCCGAACTTGAAGCCGGAAGTAATCATCCGTTGTACCGCCTTGAGTCTCAGTGCGTATTAATGTTTTACTTTGCCTTATGCTTACTGATCAACTCCTCTCTAAGCTGTAATTCTTTATCTAATATCAATCGATCCTGTTTTATTTTTTCTTGCCGATCAGTGCTAATATCGTAATGCTGTTTTGCTTGAGCCCGTCTCGTTTGCATGCCAAAATATAAATGAATTCTCTTCTCTGTTAGAGGGAGTTGATCGATATGTGTGAAAAACGCCTCCACTGATACACAATGCTATAGAAATGAGCGCTCCCAAAAGTCAGAACGTCTCCTCTTTAGTGCAATACAGTGCCCTTATTCTTTACATCATGGAATAGCCAGCACGCTTGCCACATGTTATCCTTGCTGCATCATTATTGAGAATCAGTAGGCAAATCTATATAAGTTGAAGACATTTCTTTCACGCCTTATCACATAAACAATGAAGATGAACAGGTAAAACTAAGCTTTTAAGCACGTTTGTATCCCTCATTGATGTCTTACTCCCACCGCAACCGGTCTTAGAGCGGCCTTCACGGGGCGCGCGCGCCGGCCGTGCCCGACCGGTACCACACCACGGAGCCGGTGGTGCCGGTTTTTGCACTGCCAAGTTCACGGCCGCGCTCGGTTCGGCGACTACACAGACCGGTCGGCAATGGTGGGCGGCCACCACGCACCGCAACTTCCCAGATTATCGACAGCCATCGATATAACCGGCAGGCACGTTGCGTCATTTGTAGTACCTACTAAAAGAAGGTTAATAATTACGTTAGCGCCGAAAACGTTATGAAGCGTAGGGGAAGTTGGGGGAACGCCGAATACTTTTTTCTGACGCCCGTAGCACGCAAGGTAGACAACATAAGCTTTTCTTGTTGGCGTCATTCGAGAGGCCAGTCTTTTGCCTTTCAAACATACCAGGCGCATTTGATGAATTGGCATACCGTTAAGCGCACAAACTAAAAATATCAAAGAAGTGACTTTTTCGGCGTTGCCCCGGACTGCGGGGAAAGCCGAAAATGGGAGAAATGATCTACGGGGAATGCCGACATTGATGTTTTGCCACTTTATCTCAAACTTTATCCAGAATTTATCAAAGCTGACACGCGTTTTAAGAGCTTGAGGACGCTTGGTGCACACTGGAAGTTATAGTTGTGTGATATAATAAGAAAATGCCAGGTAAATAATTCCTTATAGGTAACAGGCCGTTGTGTCGGCTGAAAGTGTAATTTGTGTGACTAAAAATTCGCGTTGCTATTCTACAGCAGTAAAGTCCACGTAGCGTGCTTTAACGTGCGTAATTGCACGTTTTCGGCATTACCCCAGCCAGCCATACTTTCATTTGCAGGCCCATAACTTTTCAACGTGCCGTATAAATTTCAAATAGGCAGCACACTTATGCACAGACATGCTGAAGATTACTTGACCGAATTGGCCAGACAAACGGTAGCATAATGAGTAAGAAATGCAGCTTCAAAGGCGCATGTAGTACAAGGAACGCGTACCTTGAAAACGCTCTTGGCGCCCTCACAGCCGAAGTATTCCGAATGACGACTCGTAACAAACATGCGATAATTGTAGTCACTTAAGCTTCAGAGCATCACTGACAGGTGGCATCCATGTCTTACCGTTTTCGAAATATCTCGAATTTCGGCTTTGCCCCAACTCCGGCATTGTCCCAACTTCCCCTAATAATGAAACAAGGGGAGCCAAGGAAAGTTGGAGGTTACTTTATCTCTTGATAAAGCCGATTCTTGAAAAAGTCATGAAAGGAGAATTTCACGCGTCAACATGGCTAATAAGTGATTAGCTCCCGATGCATGGTGACGATAATTCACGCGGGTCGCGCCGATGGCGATGATTTCAGGCGCGTTGGATTGACGTCGAGCTGTTACTACCTGCTCATTGTGGAGAGAATCAGTGGCGACTGATGGAACGAACGCGATCAAACAGCATTGTTCATGTTTACAGGCCCGGTGCTATTACGCAGGGATGCTTTCACTGTGGGCACACGGGACCAGTGATGCGACACCCAACCTTTCACCTATGCGGTAATTTCCGAACAGACCTGTGTCCTGCTGGTGTCAGTGTCAGTTCGTTGGTGGCACATCTCTGAGCTGGGTGGATCCAGGTGAGTTCGCTGGGAACCCCGCGGCTGAGGTCTGAATTCAGGGATCATCGGACACGAGCGTTCCCGGCCATGTTCGACCAGCCTCTGCAAGGCTGGTCGTACTCTGTCGTACTCCTTGTACTGCATTTTATTATTTTGTACGTAAGAAGCCCAATTTTCCAGTGACCCGGAGAAAGTGATATTTTGTAGGTGCCGCTTGCCTGTGAGCATTCGTCCGATGAAAAGCTAAAAGGAGCACATTGCTAAGAAGTATGCGACGCTCTGCGACGATAAAACATCGCTCGGCGACGTTTTATCGGACACAACTGGGGGCCTGCCTTTAGCGTGTGTCCTTTGCACCGACAGACGCATATCCTTGCCGAAGATGCTGCTGGCGGCGTGTCTGGCGGTGCTGGTGAGCGGCACAGCCGCCCGGATGGCCATCGCTGGCGACCCCAGCTCGCTGCAGTACCTCCTCAAAGAACGACAGGGGGCCTTCCTCCAGAGACCTCCCCCTCGGCGCGAAGGGGACTCGCACTACCCGTTTGAGGACGTCTACCAGCAGGATCATCAGTGGTCCTCGTATTCTCCCACTGGAAGAGATGGAGATCACGACGAAGAATTTCTTGATGACAACACTGTCTTGCAGCCACCTTTAAATGCTCATTACGCTCGCGAATCTCACGTGACGAACGAGGCTAACCATGAACGCGATAATCCCGTGAAGTCGCTAAGTTTCACAGGGTCAGGATCCCATGTAGCCAGGCACCCATTCTTCGAGAAACCTGAAATCACTGACGATGTCTCATTTTCCTCTCCTCATGCCTACCACGAGAGCAATGATTTCGCTTCCACCTCACCTCCGACACCGATCAAGAAGCAGTTTCCGTTGTCAGACTTTTCTCCGTTGCTCGGTCCTGTTTCCCCCTCACTGATTTCCTCCATCCCAAGCCCCGTCTCCTCCAAAGTCGTCAAGCATGACAGAGACGATTTCGTGCACCACTCCAACTCGTACTCGGACGACCCCACATCGTACCACGTGAGCTCCGGCTACCACGCGCCGACCACCTACCACACGCCGGCCACCTACCAGGAGCCGAGCTCGTACGAGGAGGACGGATCGCTGGTCGGTAACCTGAAGAAGTACGGCGGGGCGATGGCGCCGCTACTGCTGGCCACCGGCCTGATGTTCCTGTTCCCCTCGGTGCAGACCATTACCAGCTCCAGCCGCCGTCGCCGCCGGGACGTGGGCGACATCACAGGTACGGCACTGACGTATGATGGACGTCAAGGTATGTGACCGGGGTGTCGAGGGACTGATTGCTCACATACTATCAAACAAGGTCCTTGAAAAGGTACGCAAGTTTCACGTGACAAAAAAATCAGGATTTCTACCAAGACGTTTAACGTCAACCGGTGCTGCTGGCGTTTTACATTTCTCCTATATATAATTAATCACCATTGCAAAATATGCTTGGCCTACCTGTAACTCACAAATACGGGTATAATAGATTTTGAGCTTGCAGATGAGCTTACGATCCCTCATTCACTCTCTAAGATGAGCTATATCCGTGCTTGTCCGCATCGATCATTCTCGTGATGAAGATCTCTGTTCTCGTTAACAGCTGAGGAGGAGGACCCGTCCGAGAGGCTGCTGCTGCTGGTGGAGCGCCTGCGGACCATCCATTCGTCGTTCGCCGACAGTCCCTGCCCCAGCCGGATGTTCTGCCAGCTCGGAGACGTCATAGCCGACACCAGCGATCCCGAGCGAGCCACCAAGTAAGGGAGCCATCATTATAGGCACCGGCCATGCGTTTGTGTGTCATTCATTAAATAGGAAGCTCGTCTGAGGTAGCACGGGGAGCGCTATTATAGCCATTTGACCCACAGCGTGTGAGCTTTCCATTTCGCCGTAAAAATTACAGTCGAACGCGCGCGCAGCTCGACTCACTTTCTTCTGTGGCCGGGTCCGGCTCTGCCGCTGCTGCTGGGGGCGGGCCGGCGGAGCGTACTGCACCATCACCCTGCCCGACCTACTTCGGCAGCCCGGCACCAGACACATTAACGCGAAAGCCGAGGGAAACGCAGCGCGGACTTGTCCTCGAAACAGGCCCGCACGCGCCGCGCACACCTGTGTACGCGTCTTTACTCATGATTCTGCACATGACTGGCTTAAATCTCCGTTTTGGTTTCCAATATCAGTGAAGGTACTCGATAGATTCATTATTGAATGCCCGAATATTTTTACTATTGTTCTGACAGCCTGTCTGCCTATGACAGTCATGGCTTGCGTTGTGTTACCGAGTGCCCAAGGCAAACGGGCGTACAGAACAATATGTGCCATCACGCTAAAAGCTTTCAGAGATTCTCTTGGTGTTTTCAATGGAAGGATGCCAGAGACTGTATCAAACGTATGCATCTCGAGGCCTCCCGAATGAGAGATTTCCAGAAGACGTAGAGTTTAGAGTGGAAGGTTGAAACGTGTTCGTTGTTCCCAATATCAGACATGATCCGTTCCTCACACCGACTTTATTTGACCTGAATTGTGTTTTGCGTTTTTGCTTATTTTGTTTTAGTTATGTGTATTTTCGGCAGACGTTTTAATTTTGCTCTGTTCATTGCCAAAGACTCACATTTGGCTAATTGCCGACACTAGTCGGCCATTACCTATAGGTAGCCCGACATTCTCAGTCTGTCAATGTAGGAGACTCGTTATCAGTTTGGTGATTGGCTGGTGTGCGGAGTTGCAGTTCCCGTCCATCCGGATATCGGACTTTCCCGATCGGATGACAGAGGTCAGAGACTGTCCAACACATACGGTTGTGAGATCCTGCGGACTCTCGGCGGCGCCAACCACTTGCACTGAGTCGGCGTCACGAAGTCAACAAGGAGTCAAAGCATTCAGTCTTCTTACACTTCTTTTGCGTCTTCGCGTAAAAACGACGGGATGACATGCATATATTTCCGGCCTAACTGCAGAAGGCATGTCGTCAAAATTCGACATTTTTGCCTTATCATGACACTCTGTTAGTCAAAATTCGTCTTATAGAGCCACAATCATTCATTTTACAACCCACGCTTTGACAGTCGACACCGATAGGTCGACACCGATACCGTCACCAACTGGTGTATATTCTTCAGGTATATGGAGCAGTTTTACTCGGAGGAAGCTGACAACATGAGCATTTTGAAGAAGGCAGCACTCGCCAGCGGTCAGCCGGACTGCCACCTGTACGAATGTGCCCTGGAGACCGATGAAGAGCCACCGGTGGGACTCGCGGACGTCAAATAGAAATAAGGTAGCACAGCGCAGGGCACGCTAAAGCCGCGTGTCCACCGTCCACGTCTATTGCAGAAGCAATGAACGTCGGAACAGCTGATAATCCGTGGTCCGAAGACACAACAAGTAGTTGTTAAGCGATGTTTATGACGATAAGGTGACAACTGCACATCGTTGTATTGCGGTGAACTGAGAGGCCGAATCGTTATTGCTCGGCTTCTTCCGCGCATCTGTCCTGCACTTGTTATCGCACTGTTTCATCAATAAAACTTCGTCATCTGTATCCTTGGCTGTGTATGTAGGCACTAGGGTTGTACATTTTTTTCTATAGCTTCTAACTAGCTCACGGTCCGGAAGGGCTCACTCTGGATTTGCTTTACGCTTCTCGTAGCAACAAAACGGAGACGTTATTGAATAAAACGACACATCAAACATACTTTATTTTACTTTCGTTCACCGCTCTAGGTTATTTTAGTACATGACCTGAACTCAAAGTTGTTAGCAAAATACAAAAGGGTTAGAGTCTTTCAATAATTTATCGATCTTTCACCCTTCTATCAGGTTCGAACAACGGGGCTGTTAATAAGATATTGCAAGGGCCTTGATTGCAAGCTTCAATCCGAAGAGGAAAAAATTCGGACTTTTAGAACCTCTCAAATCTCGTAACTCATGTTTAAAGCTTAGTGAGAAATGGGACTCTTCTCAATAAAATTACTATTTGTGTCGACGGTAAATACATTACAGACGCTTTGGGCTGACTCGACTCGGCATAATGTCAATGAGCTCAGCCTTACGATAAACATAATATTTGTACCGACATTGTGTCACGACTTTTCGTTGTCGAATTAAAGCACTCACTAATCTTCAACAGATTATTAAAAATGCGAATTGCTGACTTTGCAAAGCGAATAGAACAGTGAAAATTAAGTCTTATAACGATCTAAAAAATGACCTAAAAATGTTTCAGCAGTGCCTTTGATATCGGTCATATCCATTTCCTAATGTTCATCTGTTTAGCGACTTAAATCAGGGTAACAGATATGAACAAATCTTCTAAAACCCCTTCGTCTGGCGTCCAAAAATCAACTTTTGATCCCAATCTGTCATTTGAAATGAAATCCGTACAGCGGTTGATTATATGTCCCTGTGTCCTTCAACCTGAAGTTTTTAGAGATTTGTACGCCATAGGTTAGATGTTGATTCGCTTGATCTCTCTAATGTTCCCGCCTCGCCAACTGTGTTCGTTTGCCCGTAAAGACCATAAGATTCTGAGCTATGATTTATTTGCCGTCAAGTACAGTACCAAACAGCATCACACGCACACTCTCAACATGCGGTCACGCACGCGTTCTCGGGGCAGCTCTTCGATTCCACGATTGAAGCCAGTCAAATACGTGTGGTTTGTACACCAAGACCCTGGCGCGTGCGGACGTAACAACAATAATAACAATAACAACTGTAACAACTCACAAAAAGCGTACGAGGTATACACAAAAAACGTATCACATACATTGAGCTTTTTGGCCCGGACTGTATGTCCACAGCCCGGGCCAAAGAAGGGCTAACTGGACGGGACACGAGCGAATGTGTAACAGGGGATGAAAGTGCGCTACTGTGACAAGAAGACTGCATCTGGGAATCGTAACTACTCTTGGAAATATTCCATACAAAATGTTCAGCGTCACGGAGGATAAAACGATGCAGTATAACGTGAAAACGAATACTGATGGAAGTGAACCAGGCTGAGCACAAGCCTGGTTCTTGGGGCGGCACGTAGGAATAATAAATAACAAATAATAAATACCATGAGCTACTGAGCACTCGATATGGGACGAGGACTTGACAATGAGACGCAACAATGGATGGCGATGGTGACACGGCTGTGGTACGACAGCCACATTGAAGATACTCGTCGACAAACACGAATGACGAACACAAAACGAGGATGACGCACATGCAGGGACACCATGAACATAACACGCAAGGAGTGGACAGGACTGGACCAACGAGATGTACGGACAGACGTAGTGGCAGAGATGAACGACCATGACGGTCGTCATCCGTCACTGACAATAATCGCGACACAACGATGACGAAGACATCAGCTCAACGGCGGACGGACGGATGCGGCGGCACGAGTGACAAAGCGGCGTCGTGGCACGGGAGCTCGCGCCGCGCTGACCACTGCGCCGCGGAGGCCCTGGCGCCGGTCTCGCGGCTCGGCCGGACGCTCGGACGGAGGTGTCTCGGCGCGGACCCGCCGCTGGCCGGCCGGCTGGCTGCAGCAGGCCGGAACTGTTTGTCTGTGGAGTAGCGGTAGCGAAGTCAGCGGGCGGTCACGGCGCGCTCAGAGGGCCGGCCAGCCGCGTCCGACGCCGCCGGCTGTTGACGGCACCGACCACTTGTTTGCCTCGGCTGGCTGAGCGCGATGAAATCATGCCGTAGCGCTCACCGGGAACTGGGTCAGCCCGAGTCAACAACACGACGAGATTGACCAAGTCATCGGCAGGCCGGCGGCCGGCAGAGCGAAGGCGCCGGGTGAATAGTAACTGAACTTTCTAGAGAGCTTTACATTGGTATTAACGGCACCGAAGACCGAACAGCAAGAATTTCATAAAACCATCAGAAAATGACAGCAATCGTAAAAGCTGTTTCGACGAAGTCGACATCACGGGAAAATTCCCCGACATCGCGGGAAAGTACCTACCTATATCTACCACCATTTCGCGATTGACTTGACGGCGAAGGTGGCGACCCGGTCGAACTCGGGCGTGTGGATGAACTCATAGACTGGCTGCGGGATGCTGGGCAGCAGCTCACGGCCGGTGCTGCGGTTGTTGTTGTTGTTGTTGGCGATGGCGGCCGCGGCGGCCAGCAGACCGAGCAGACCGATACCGACCAGCGCCACCAGCAGGATGGGTCCGATCAGGCCCAGGCCGCCGTCACCGCCGCCGCCGCCGTGCTGTCGGTCAGAGGAGCACAGTCCGGTCACAGAGGAGCACAGCCCGGTCAGAGAGGAGCACAGTCCGGTCACACGGACTTCACACAGCTGCCGTCAGCACCGGCTCGCTGATCCGTGCAGCGACAGGTATCAGCAGCGGATCCCATCCGCTTGGATACTGGTCACACAGCCGTAGCTGGATCAGACCTTTTTTGGTTTGAAAGAGCCATGCCATTCGAAAACAGAAACAGCTATGAAAGGTGTCGACCGTTGCTTATCTAAATAAATAATTGAGCAGTGAACACTGCGATGCAATATCAACGTGCGCCAGGCGCGAAAGGAACCCATGTCTAGATTGGAGCTCATTGCATCGATGCTGATGACTAGGACCTCCCTCTGCCTTGGTTTTCCTTCAAATAAACCGTTAAGAAAAAGGTTAGCTTTAGTGATCAAATGAACAATTTCTTAGCGTGAAATTCGATGGCCTACATTAAAACGAAAGCAGCAGAGATGTGCCGCTTTCGTCCGAATTTCGCGATGCCGCCAGCGGACGCACCTGGGGACGGGGGTGGGGCCGGTGCTGCTCCACCGGGTAGTAGTAGTAGTAGTAGCCGGTGCTGCCGGCGGTGCCGGAGCCCTTGGACGGAGCCGCGTAGCCGGACGACGGAGCAGGAGCCGAGTAGGAGCTCGAGGTGGACGCCGCCGCGTAGGAGCTGCCGCCCGAGCTGTGGCCACCAGAACTGTGACCTCCAGAACTGTGGCCGCCGGAACTGTGGCCGCCAGAACTGTGACCTCCAGAGCTGTGGCCTCCAGAACTGTGGCCTCCAGAGCTGTGTCCACCTGAGCTGTGGCCGCCCGAACTGTGGCCGCCACCGTCTCCGAGAACTGCGCCCACACAGGCCAGGACGGCTATCGCGACGAACGCCCTCATTGTGAAACTCGGTCCTGAAAGGGAAGCAGAAAGGTCTGAAGAAAACTGAGCAGAGACAAAGTGCCAATATGCACGGACAAAATGAAAGCCGACTAGATGAAAGGCCGTTTTGGAAAGAACAATTAAAAAGGAAGGCAGACGGCTTCCATACAGGCTTGGAAAAATCCAAATGTCTGCCGTCTAAATAGAAGTTGTTTTTATATGAAAACCAATGGAAACCAGAGTACGTTCGAAGGAGCACTGGCATAGGCTATCCAAACACTTAATTTGGAGAGAGGAGTGCTTGGAAGCAATCGAGCTCATTTACTCTGTATCACTCAAGCTCAAGCACAAGCTCCAGAAAAGCTGGGATAACGGTCTTGTAACGCACAGAACTCAGCGAGCTAACGAGCTAGAGAGCGGGCACTGTCGGCAAAAGCCGGCGAAGGAATCCGATTCCTTGGCACAGTCCAAGTATAGACAACACTATCGCCGCTCCAGGTCTCTGCGCGTCGGCCCGACCCGATCTCAGCCTCCCCAGAGAGAGGGGTGTCACGCGACTCCGACTCCGGGACGAACAGCCACCGAGATGTCACTCACTCTGCTCCGCTCCGAGCTGTCCAGACCCAACGACGCGACTGAAGCTCCGAGGCGTCGGCGCTGATTTTTCAACTCCCGTTGGCTCGATTAGCTCTGATGTAACTGGCGGCTGGCGGTGCGCCGGCCCCGACAGCCCATTGGTCGGCGGCGCCTCGAAACCAGGCTACCTGCGTGTCGGGCCGGCCCGCCGACCGACGGACCGTCTCTCTCTCCCTCCCCTCCCTCCCTCCCTTCTCTCTTTCTCTCTCGGTGGCCGTTGGACTCATCGGCATCGATAGCCCGAACGGGTGAAGACGATCGCAGTCGACCTGTATGTGGGGCATTTGGAAGGTCAACAGATAGATAAATACTAGGGTGACCCGCGTGCTCCGCAACGCGAAAAGGGATATTTTCGATCGGCGGGTGTTCGGTTGTTCTTGTGTCGGTTGGGTTATCTATCCATTTCGGTCGATTGCTTTTTGACGGCTAAACGTTTTGGTTTGTGGAAAAAATATCCACCGCATCGAGGTGCCCGTGTCTGATAAGCATGCTTTCCACTTCAGAATCTGTCAAATGTGCTTTATAATTGAGGTGCGTAGTTTTAAGACAAATGAAAGGCGTAGATAATTTTCGCTAAAAATCGTTTTGCAGAGGTTTAAAACATTTATATTTTTAAGAATACTGTTGCTTGTCATGCAAACGTGATGATTGGATCTTGGAGAGAATTGAATGCTCTTTCTAATGATAGCTTTTTCAATTGTCAAGCGTATCAGGTTAAGCAGCAAATCCCGTGTATCTTTTTAGTGGCACATTATGGACAAATACCATTTTAATTCAGCGATTTTTTCCACATTGTTTTTGATCAATTAGCTGTCCACAATTTTCCATGAGAGGCGGTACATTTCTCTTGGCAATTGACGTTGTTTCAACTCTCTCAATCTGATGGTCACGGGAAAATAAAATAAAATCCAAAATGCGTTTAAAATGGCACTTTTTGAAATGAAATTGCCCTCACACTTGCACGTGGCGCGTGCCACCCCTGCACCGCACACTATTCGATTGCCCGTTCGATTCTCTACACGATGCTGTTTTCCCCGTGCCGATCGGGCGCACGGTTACCGAGATATTGCACGGGGAACGGACCCGTGTCGGGCAAATTTAGCCATTTTCGCCCGTTTTTGCCAGCCGATTTATACATGTAAAGTCTATGACGCGAATTTGCACTTTTTGGGCACGCGCCACGCGCTCGCTATCGATCCGATCGAGCCGAGACCGCTCAAAGGCACGTTGTCCATCCTTGTTCTATAATTTGCGCAAATTTCAGCGCGGTAGGTGCAACGGTGTGATCTGTAACCCGCGCTACGTAGCACCATGTCGCGACCTTCGTAATAGACAGAAACTACGCCCTCCTCAAATAGTAATATAGATTTTTTTAAATAAATGAATAAATAGATAAATAGAAAGTTAATAACAGTATGCAATGCAGCCACAAGATAAAACCACAATTTTTCGTACTTACCCTTACGAGTACCTATATCTACCTTGTGTATATGTATTTCATTCCAAAGCACTAACAAATTGATTGATCCTTGCAGTACCTAATATGTGAAAATATTTCCACTTGCCGGAATAGCTCAAATGTTCTCTAAATGTTAGGCATAAAGAGGGACATCATTCTACAGTGCTTGTATCATAACTCGCGTCCCGCTGCACAATGGGACCGGAGCGAAAATTAGCACGACATCGGTACTTTTTCGTGTTTCGTGTCCGCTTTTCACATGAAAGGGATAATAGAAACTCATAGAATCATACCAATGGTAGTCGCGGTACCTACTTCCGAGGCAATGTCTGATAAATTTAATTAATTAATCATTAGTAATTTAATTAATTAATTAACTAATTCATCAGTTGACCTGCGCTGACCTCGACTAGTTCGGTCACGTGATAAGATAGCAACACCTGTCACTTGTCAGGTCAGGTCATGACGGCACCGGAAATTCCGATAAGCAAAATAATGTAGCCACCAAAACCATAATGGGAATCTGATGGCCTACATGACTATATAACAAATTAAGTACGGGTCATAAAAGTATATCAGACACTCCGATAGCAGGTACGGATATGTCCGGACAAAACTTAAATATAGTTGGCACTTGGCAACTTTGTTCGACTCCTGAGGATCTGTTACTCGCAGCTTCCGGCCGGCTCGAGGTAACCGCGCACGTCCAGCGCCGGCGACCGGAAGTAAAAACAAAAATGCCCCTGATTTTCGATATAGCAGGCTAAAGCAGTTAAGTGATACATTTTCTGAAAGGCAATTGATCGGCACGCTATTGATAAAAGAAGAGCGGGACCTAGCGGGAGTTTTTATATCGGTATTCTAGAATATGTATAACAGTAAAATTAACTCACAATTTTAAAAGCACCTAAAAAATAACATTTGAAGCGTATTTATAAAATTCCGCTATAAGTTTTTTTTTCCATCGTGAAGCCCATGGCCTAAACTATCAGGTTTGACCCTGAAAATATTGGTAGAGCCGTCTAATATATATTTTTTCTTAGCTACATTAGCTGCTACTTTTCCCCGTACGAAAACGGGTCTACGATGCTTTTCACGTAACTTTGTGTTTGGGCTGATGTGGCGCGGACGCTGTACACCATGGACGAAAAATATTTGCAGATTCGTGGTCCATGGAAATGTCTGAGCTACGTGAAACAGTCTAACTCAATTTGGGAAAGGTCGGCAAATCCGCCAATGTCGCGCTAATTCCGGCCGCGGTCCCATCGCGCGCTGGGATATTCAGCCGAACGCCGCGCTGGGGGCGCGGGGCAGTTTTCATGCCTCCTGTCTAACTTACGAACGGCTGGTCTCAGAAAGACGTGCAGAAAACGACGATTGAAAGCTCTTTACATGACGATTAACCCGGCAGGCGGTGGGCCTCCCAGCCACCTTCCGCGCGGTGGGGGGGGGGGGGCATTTTTTGCCCCCCCCCCGTATCTCCGAAACTACTGGACGAATCCGGAAAATTCAAACGGCGTTCGACAGCCCTGTCAAATTTGTGGAGGGAAACCGAATTTCATTGACCTCGGGGTCACCGATGACGTCACAGGTCAGGTCAAAGATAAAATGTTTCACCGTTCACGGGGCTTCTAGGGAAAGCGCTATAACACCGAGTAAAACGCATTTTGTCGAAAATCAACGATAAGGCGTCAGTTGTCTAGTACATACGTTCCTATTAGAGGTCACTGGTCATACCAGGTCAGGTCAGGTCACCAAAGGTCACCAAGGGTCACCACATGAGCCCAACTTTAGGTACTAAGGTTATGCGATGCATGTTTTATGGCCAGTTTTTCATTTCCAACTCAATGGTGTTGTTTATAAGACCATCAGGTACGGTTTAGGTCACTTTCTGGTGGAGGTCAGGTCAAGGTCAGGTCAAAAAAGGTCAAATTTCAAAGTTGATATTTTTGCATAAAATGGGTATCGATTCGATGCCGCTCGTCACGGGGAGTCTAATGGTGGTCTTTGTTTTGCGCTACGAGGTCTAGAAGTGCTAAAACTTGAGTTTGAAAAGTTGACGTCATCAATTTTGAACAGTTTTTTCGCTATAACTTGTCGCTATAACTTAATCTCAAATTTGGTATGTCGATAGAAGACGGTAGGGACTATCACATATATTCCGGTTTTTTTTTTCGAAATTCAAAAAACTTTTTGGATTTTTTGGCTATTATACATATTAAAAATCTATTTTTTGATTTTTGGGGGTCAAAATCCAAAAAATTCGAAAAACCGAAATAGCAGTTTTGTAGCCCTTTTGATTCCACACCTTTTATGTCTGAAACATTTTTCTGTATCTCTAAAGCTGTAGGCCTGACAGCTCTTCCCGCGAAACCTTTTTTTTCGGTCGAAAATGGCAAAAATGACGTCACTCTGACGTCATTAGCGGCCAACCTATCATGGCCTTTGGAAAAAAAATTTGGTCACCATGTGCGCTAGCTGCTCCCGGGAGGGTACTGAAAGTTTGGTGACGATCGGCGCAGCGGTTCTCGAGATAGGTATATTGAAAAAAAAACTTAAGGGGGGGGGGGGGAAAATGCCCCCCACCGCCTGGAAGGTTTAAGTACAAAAAAATTTGCCTATATGGTCACAGGTATAGGGTCAGGATCAAGTTAAGGGTAAACACTGCAAGTTTCTGTTTTAGTGGCATTGAAGCATAGTTAGCGCCAAGTTGTGGTGATAATGAAATAGCCTTTGCTAATACTTAATCGAAAAATGACGAAAAACAAAATATATGTAAAATGCCCTAGCGAAGAATATTTAGCGAACATAGTTAGCGAAGAATGGACGAAGATTGATCAACCAGAACCTGTTATTACATGTACCTACCTAACGGCCAACCAAGACAAGGTCAGGTCAGGTCACCAAAAACAAACTACCTATTGAATAGGATATGTGCGAGTTGCGACGCAAAATTTTTATGTAATTTTACTCATATAACATAAGAGGCATACACATAGTGATATGGATCATATCTGGATGAGTTCAGGTGGAGGTCATAGTCTAGGTCAGATAAAAATGGTCACATTTCGAAGTTGGCTTCAATGACCAGAAAATGTGTCTGCATCTGATGCACTTTTCATGAAGAATCAAATAGTGCTATTTGTATTCCTTACTCTAGATCAGTGGTCGGCAGGTCATTCGGGGTTGTGCCCCCTTTTTAGGCGCCAGGCAGGGCCATTACCCCCACCTACCAGACCCCATTGCTGACACAACCAAGTTTAGGCACTGAAATTCCATACCTTCTGGAACTCTTTGGGTATTTCTGCATTTCCGATGCATCAAATTTAAAACATGACACTTCCTCCACAAAACATTTAATATATCCTATTTAACCCTCGTACATAAAGGGGCAGCCGGTGGTTTTTCGTAAAAGCTCACGTAAAAGCCGTTGGATCACGACCAAATTGTACCCTCGAGCTAATCATTTTTTTCTTTACCTGCCCGGGAAACCTGAGGCCAGTTTTACCAACAGAAAAATAACCGCCTGCCGGAGTTTTTGCCTAAAAACCGCTTCACATACGCGATGCG